ACTGTACGCGGCCTGATGCATCCCTTCCAGCAAACTTCTGGTTTGTGACTCGCTCCGAGGTTCCAATTCACAAAGTTCAGCGGCCAAAAACGCTGGAACGCAGAATTCTCAACGCTACTGCACCGGGTACTGTCCAGTAAAAGCAAACAAAAGCTGTTCAGCTACACGGGAACCTCTAATTGACATACGGTCAACAGCGAAAACAAAATTTTACTTATCACTCTGTGATCGGCAATTTAAAAATAACATCAGACACAGACCGTGCAATATAACGACTAGTGAAATTGAGTGGTTATTGGTTAAATATTATAGTCTAATCACACGGTCATTGTAGAAAAAAAGCCAACAAAAGACGCCCTTGCAATGACCGTACGATGTTTGGCTAACACGTAAACTGCAGATCAACAAATATTGAGTTGTAGGAAGTTAATGGTGTCGCAAAATGCACTGGATCACGTATCTTCCGGCCTGCTGCCTTCTTTATGCGCGGTATGAGTGTAAAACTTGGTCTCTGTTGAGAAAAGGCTGCTGAGGAGGGGTAAAGTGACACGAGGGTGCGAGACTGCTCGTGGTTTTTACTGTTCACCGAAAATTATTAGGACGATCAAACCAAAGAAGTCGAAACAGGCCAACCTAAAAGAAAGGGACAAGTGAGACACGTCAGGATACCTGAGCGTTATTGGGGATAATATTAAAATGGATATAAGAAACCTGAGCGCACCGTTGCCTTCCGTTTTTCAACGAGTGACAATTTCAAATTGGAATTTTCGGACCGTTATAAAGGATGTGGTAGTGGCCTACTTCATGACAGTCTGCCTTTATCAGAACTGTACGTAGAGCCTATCTCAGACAACGAAGCTCCCGTCACTGCGTTGGCTGTCAAGAAGTGACCTGCAGTTTGCTTACCGGTCCGATTCTGGGCTTCCTGCCCCCAGCAGAGGGCGAAGGACGCAACCAGCATCACAGCAGCCGTGGGCTTCCACATCTCCCCTTGTAACTCGGACGATGCCTCGCGTTTAACTGCCACGAAGGGTCTCGTTTGAGGCGACTTACCGCTCGTAAACTTTCACTTCCAACCTGAACCGCGCTACGTCGAAAGCCCGCGACAGTGGAGGAGTGGCCGAACTGCGGAAGAGGCGATTTTGGGCGGTCCTGAACGCAGTAATGATCGCTGGAGTTCAATAAAGGCTTGGGAATTTCTCTGACTAGCTGAGCGACCACGAGCTCCTCAAGGAGGACTCTGCACACAATGGCGTTAATATGAATTCGGCATTTTGAGTCTGGAGGAAGGAAGCCAAGGGCAGAAGATAAATTCCACACACACACACACATCATCGGCGACTGCACTCATGCAACAACAAATCGGTGGCCGCCGAGGAGAGGTCGCATCCGAGTGGGTCTACCGCATTCGGAGAATTGGCTACACAGGTCCCTTCCAATAAGATTTTAGGTACTGACGGTGACCGTAAAGGTGGAGGCAGCAAGCACCTCCGAAACGTCGGCCAATACGGCGGAACATCCTAGAAGACTGCCGTCCTCATATGGAAACACTAACCCGTTCATTGCTACGAAGGAGACATCGGCTACGTCTGTCGTGAAAAATCTAACTCTGGTATTAATACTGCCAATGAAAACAAATTTCCCCCAAGCCAAGGAATTTGTGACGTTTCGTCGAGTTGTCACGGGCAAAAACTTCAAACAAAACAAGACAACATTGCGAAATAAAATTTAACATGAAAAATGTAAATAATTAATGACTGAGAAGACATGGAATGACGAAAAGAACATATTTCTTTTGTTACTCTGTAGGCTACTCACTGCAGATTGTTCAGATTGGCTGAGCCTGTAGAATGAGTCGCCGAGGAAACATATTTCCAAGTAAGGCTACTCAAGGACAGTGAAGAATAGACGAGGAAAAATACAGAAATTCTAACAAATGTGCTCAGAGACTTCTGGAGTGGCTGCTAATAAACCTAAGTGGTTAGGAAAACATTTACTGTTGGCCAAGACAAGACAAGGGCAGCTTCGGGTTTAGCATTACGACACGTGACGTAACTTCTGCTTCTTACTCCAGCATCCAAGTTCCTCGAGAACTGACACTGCGTATGAGGAAATGAGGACTGTTAAAAAGCGGGAACATCGAAGAACGAAGATTCTCGGGCTAACTGAGCAGTCAGGGACTTGAAAGGAGACTCCTGTTACGTAATTCAAGATACTATTTCAGACTGAGGAAAACCACAGCACGACTCAAAATCGGGTGACCGGAGGTGCCTTATCCCGCAGCTGGCCAAGGCCTATTTTTATTTCACGTGTTCTTCGAAACGGCGTTCAAAGGAACCTTAAGCAACGAATCTGGATGTTTAGAAATTAATATCGGGGTCGGGGTCCGACATCGACTGGTAAGTATGTGTACCTAGTCCGGAGCGCGGTGAGGGCCTCGTTACGTCACGTTCGTCCTGAGGAGGACAGGGACAGCGAGAGATTTTCTCTTTTCTCAGGCGCTGAAGACCTAAAATGTCGACGGCCTAGCAATTTCGAAACGTAACTCGCAGCTGAGCGTTCCGGGTTTGCGTCACGTATCACCAGTCATCCGAATGGCTGCCGTGCGGTGCGCGGTTCGAACACCGGACTTCACAGAAGCCGATCTGAAATCTTCTCCAGACCAAAGACAGCCAGTTCCTCTCAAGTCCCCGAAAGCATTCCTTAATTATTAAACATTTATATCCACCGTTCAGCCACGAAATTACAGTCGATTTCTGCATGAATTTCCCTGGTAAAAGAAACTCGCAGGCTCTAATAACGCTTATTACACAGACTTCAGTTATGAGTCGCTTTCACTGCAAACGTTACTTTCATTACACGGAAACAAACAATGGAGCGTGACACCGCGTGGACACGGCAATGCCCGAAGACAAATCCATCAAATGGATTTCAAAAGGTATATCGAGTGTGGAGTGGATTCATCTGGCTCAGGATGCTATCAAGTGACGGGCGTTTGTAAGCACACTAATGATCCTTCAGGATTCCATAAAAGACAGCAAACATATCTTGACCCCACCGAATCATCGGCCGGCCTCCTCTGCATTACTACAAGAATATTCTTCCAGGAATAACTTCGCAGTTGAGGTTAGGGGAAAAGCGTAAAATACCGCGCGCGAAGCATTCTTGGCATGCACTGACACAGACTCAGGGTCCTGTAGCACGTGATACGGCATATGGAATTATCTGTCGTACGAGTCATCATCAGAGCCGCTAACCTTCAGCTATCTTATAGCCACTTAAGGACCATCGTAAATAGCGAGGTTCTCGTTCTCACCGCCAGAGCCGAGGAACAGATGTAGGCCAGTTGGCGACCCAGTGAGAACCATGCATCTGAATCGAGCGTCAACTGTTTTCGCCATTGTGCTACTGTGCTACCACGTCGCCATCGCCCTCAAAGCCTGTGAGTAAATATTAATTATTGTAGCTGAGAATCCAAGAGAGGGGGAGAGAATTAACTGCATTTGCTCTGAACAATTTTACCTTGACGAAGCTTTCAGATTTGGGTTCACACAAGGTAATTCCATTTTGTTAACAATCCTTCAATTTCAGCCCCTGAAGTTATGTAAAGGTCATTACTTATTTTCGGACCATAACACATGAAGAGGTGTTTACACGGAAGTAATGAAACGTAGCCTTCGGACTTCCCAAAGCCTCCCTACTGCTGTCTGGCGCCAGTAACCTTCCCGCGCTGACAACATGACAGCGTGAAATGTCTTCCAACTTTTCCTTTGTCCTCCTACAAAAGTGTTTTGTGATCGTGGAGATCTACAAGATTGAAGCTTGTAACATTTTCCAGAAGTTACGGCAATGTTGATGTAAGCTAATTCCCCAGGAAATGTGCTCTGAAATAGACATATAAAATAAAGGACATTTCACAGTTCGCCCATCCATATTTCTTTTCCACAGCAGCCAGATTCGAGCGATCAATAAGCCAAGAGGGCGGTGGTTTTTATAAATCCTCTTCGCACACAGAAGGAAATCAGTTTACAACGCGAAAAGTGCAGAGGAACATTTATGCCGGGAGCAGATTTCAAACCCCGTACCCCAGAGATTCAGAAGTATCAGAGTCTGTACCAAAGTGCTCATATGTACTACGAAAATAATTAATTTCAGAGCGATAATATTTTTGGCAAATCTAAATAAAATAAAATGTGATTTCACGCAAGACTACCGACATATATTTTGGTATCCTTCGATTTTCCCATTTAAATTGCATTACATTAATAAATATGTATATGTCTTCTTATTTTCACTGATAACCTGACAAAAGTTGTTGCGAGGAGAAATTGAAAGAGCTCACGCGTCGCAAGCATATTTCAGAGTGCGAAGTTGGCATCACTGCACCACAATAATTTAATATTTTTCCTTCATGTCCATAATGAGCTATAGCATATCTGAACGTTGCGCTACGTATCGCGTACAGTTCCTTCCAAAACAACGTGACCTTCTCCCTGTTATTTCACGAAACCCAAATCTGTAAGCTGACATTCAGAGGAGATCCGAAGTGGGACTGGCCCAGTTTTTTGCGGAAGGTCACGGGTCACTGATGCACTTTCTAGTTCTAGAATTCTGTTTCAGCCGATCTGTTCAAAATATGCAACCGAAACGACCCTCAACTCAACGACTGCATCAAGGGGACACTTGAAGAACTACGCTTCACGCTGAAATCAGGTACACGCTTATTTTATCTGAAGGCGGCAGGGTCCAACACGTCACGTACTTAACGCGTTATTCTGATGCAGGTGGACGACTGATTTACGTACTTAAGTTCGGAGCGAAATAAATTCACGGCGCAGGGACTGGTTACGACGTTATTACACTAAATACTCTATTGAATAAAAATTTACTTGGATATTATCCACCGTCTAGTAAACATAAAACGTAAAAAATGACGTTTCGGAGATGGGACTCTATCTCCGTCTTCAGGTTCCTACACAGTTGGGCCCACTAGATAGAGCTAATCCCTATCTCCGGACTATTTACTAGACGATGGATAATATCCAGGTAAATTTTTATTCAATTGACTCTTCACCATCGTCAAGAAGTTTTAGATTTGATACTAAATATTCTAATTATTAAAAGAAAAATTCACTAATGCCGCCATCAAGTGAACCAGGTAACTGACTCCAAAGATATAGGGGCAGGTTGTGTCATAAGACAGAGAACGGGGGAGGTGGGACGGAGATCTGCATCACAGTACCAGCGAGTCCGTCAAGAAGTTTTAGATTTGATACTAAATATTCTAATTATTAAAAGAAAAATTCACTAATGCCGCCATCAAGTGAACCAGGTAACTGACTCCAAAGATATAGGGGCAGGTTGTGTCATAAGACAGAGAACGGGGGAGGTGGGACGGAGATCTGCATCACAGTACCAGCGAGTCTTGAAATCCGAACGCACATAACAAAGGCCCTCCTCAGTGGTGATCTGCTTGAAATCCGAACGCACATAACAAAGGTCCTCCTCAGTGCTGATCTATTCTGAACCAGCGTCGCATATCAGCACACTCAAAAACAGATCGGGGCAGCCCCGGAAACAGCGGATGAGCGTTGGAACTCAGAAACAATTTCCGAATTTTCCAGGAATCTCGCAGCTCAGCGTGCCTTCGGTCGACCCGATGGTGATCCCCAAAGTGAGAGTCTTCCAGGGCTCGGGTCCCGTTTCCATCGACTCGACGTTCACAAATCTGCACGTGGAGGGAATCACGAATTTCGAGATCACGAAAGTGGCGTAAGTAGAAAGAAGTTAGGATGTTAATGCTCCTGAAGGAAACCCAAATGCGATGGCAAGTTTAGAGTTCAAGGAGTCTTGCGTTGACGATGGTCTTCAGGGCAGAAACTCCGCGTGGACGCCGACGTTTCGAAGGAACGCAATTTCTTCTTCGGGGCTGAAGCAGCATGCTCCTCCGAAACGTCGGCGTCCACACGGCGTCACGATTCGGAAGACCACCACAGCGAAAACCTCAAATCTGATATTCGTAATTTTAGTTTATTTCTGAAACGACGCTGGCACAACTACAAACGATGATAAAATTAAAGGTTCTTAATCTGCATCCAGTTGGTATTTGAAACATTTAACACGGCTGCTCCATTGACAGAATTCACTAAAGAGTAAGAGCGATCTGCGAATGGATTTGTTTGCTCGGAGGGCGTCAAAACGATGGACGACTATCAGATCAGTGTTGTGACAACTTTGCAAGCCGGGGGGAAATATAACGAAAGGGTTAAACGCTTCAAAGAGGGTGGACGAGTCAACCTGGAGAACTGTAGTAATTGCTGCATGCTGTGTTACCGACTGTGTCCGCAGTGCCGATATAGACAAGTATCGGCTGGACTTCGAGGTGGCGATCCCGTATCTGCACACGCACGGTGACTACAAAATCGACGGCAGAGTGCTCGTGCTGCCAATCAGCGGTAGCGGCGACAGTTGGAGTAACTACAGTGAGTACAACACACCCCGTTGAGATCAACGCCTGGACTCCTAACCGCACTCGAAATTCTAACTGAAATATTTTTGTTTGTTTGTTTACAGCTGACGTTACAGGCACCGCTTCGTTGATTGGTCATAAAGAAACGCGTGACGGTCAGGACTACATGAAACTGGACGAATTCAAGTTTCACATTGAAGTAGGACACGCGTCGATACACATGAACAAACTGTTCAACGGGAACAAGTTGCTCGGTAAGTGAACAGGCTGTTCAACGAGCGAAAGCGACGCTCCTTGAAGCGTTCGGGTAGAATGACGCTGAGAACTGACGCTGACTTGCAGGTGACGCCATGAACAACTTCATGAGCAGAAACTGGGAGGTCGTGTTCCAGGAGCTGAAGCCGGTGGTGGACGAGGCCATCAGCGCCATCTTCACTGACGCCGCCAGCAAAGTGTTCAACCGCTTTCCGTTCGCGGAACTGTTTCCAAGCAGCTGAACGAGGTGCTGTGGGATGCTGGTAAACGCTATCAATAATATAATTATCGTAGATTTTGGTACACCGTAAAGCATATTCATCAAATGTGAATAACTGATAGCGGTTTTTAGTCCTGAAGATGGAGGCAGTATCTTTCTCCGAAACGCTGGTATCTACCCAGAAGAACAACGCGAACAATATGTTCTGAGTATCTCACGTTCGATTTTGGTGTTCCGGGTTGTGACGCCGCGCGGTTACCGACGTTTCGGAGAAACAAATCGCGGCTACACGGACAAAACACACGTGCGAGATGCGAGTGCCCTTCGTTTGTTTAATTCTGTGTTTCTTCTACAGGAGCCAGTCCCAGATTAATGGCCGCTTACCAACTGACAAAAGAAGTCGAGACTTTCGCTTAAACTTCAGCCACAAGAATTTGTATCTATGTTACAGAACGTAATCAATAAATATTTCAGCACGCAATGAGAATAATGCACATTTCAAGTATTCGTATTGCATATGGGCGAAGGAAAACGAGAGGGACCTCTTGACTAAGAACTATTTGCCGGGAATATGTCGTCCCGGGATTTAACAGGGCGTCGCCGCTTAATTTAATCATCAGACGTCCTGGTTTTAAGCGACGTGGAAGGTCCGGCCTTGACTCAAAACTGACCACATCAACGCGGTCTCTACTCAGCAGTGAAAGTTGTCTTTTGTGCAGCCGACAGCTTAGCGCGATTCATACAACCAGTCACTGTACGTGGATGGCAGTCGTCACACTCATCGCCTCGAGTACCTCAGATCTTAAAACCGACGAAACGTTCCATGAAATGAAAGACCATCAACAGAGAACGCTTACTTACGAATCTGCTACGTGTCTCTGTGGTCATCATTACACGGACGTACACAGACAGAAAAGCCACTGATGATTTCGTACATGCACGCTCAAACGACAACCTTACAGGGCTGGACCTACTGAAATTTCAACAACGCACCACGGCCACGGTCCCCCTAACCCCCAGTTTCCCAAAAGTCCTTGGTTTCGCAAACCGCGGTGTTGTTCAGGAACGTAACGTAACCCTCTCAAGCTTCACGCCGTCGTATTTCCTCCGATCACCTCGTTTTCCATCGAGCACAGACGCCGGACTGTCCCTCACGCGCCCGTCTTGCACTCACAAGTAACAATCTCGGCTTGTCACAATCCTCTCCTCCCCCGTCCCCCTCCAGACGCACTGTCACTAATCAGTTTCATCACAGAACTGTGCTGGACCGGGTCACCGGCTTCCTTATGCCAACCGACTCCTGCGTCCACTCCTACCTTTAATAAACCACAAGTGAGCTTTGCCAGCAAAGTATCTGGTATCCTTGTAATCACCAAAAAAGCCTTTCACTAAATAACTCTCAATAAAGCTAAACAGAATTAAACGCAACACAAAAAAGTACGAATGTCGACTCAGCCATGCGAAGTCGAACACTTAAACGATAATTTACAGGTCTGCGTGGTACGGCCCTTACGGAAGGCGACGCCAGAGGATATGGGGTTAACGAGCGGAGAACACAGATATCAAGGAAGCAGCCGCAAGATACAGGGTGTTCATTTTAAAACGCAACTCTAACTACTACACGCGAACTATGAAACCAGCGAATTCTTGCAGCCGTGTCCCGCTGCTTGAAATAGGCGCGGCCTTAAATTTCAGGTGTTTCGTCGTCGCTCGATGAAAACTCACGTCCCGCGTCCCGAAATTCTTTTTGTATTTTTGTCGCGGCCTAGCAACAAGGGCGACCTTAACTCGAGTCTCACGACTACGTTTTAAGAGGCACAGCCTGTGTGTCGTTCCCACTTGCAAACGCTTAAAAGCCATTGCGTGTCTGAGAATGCACGTAACTACCTGCTCATTACACAACATGACCGCACTGCAAGAACCGAAGACTCAGACACGAGTCTGTTAACCTAAAGACACAGAATTTCTCAAGTAGCTAAGCGAATTTTTAGATAACGAAGAAGGGATCTCCAAAAATGTCAGGCAGATTAGCAGCGTGCTAATAAGGAAATAGAGACTTGATTGAGCGAAAACAAGGCCGCAGTGCCCGCCAGACGATCGCAGTTAAGGATACAAATTGGTTCATGACAACTCTGGACGACCTGGCGCTTGCATCAGCTGTTCACCCTCTCGTACAACTTTCAGACCGGAGAGCAATACGACCAGAGACGAAATTCCGAAACGACAGTTTGAAACTTCGCACGACTTACGACCAGAGACAGCTTTTTTGTTTTGTATTAAAAAAAATTCATTTTCATGTAACTTCGGAACAGGGGTACAGTGTCGAACTCCGTCCATTTCACGCCCAATCCTTGGAATTATTTTTACTGAATCCTCTACTTACAAAAATAAATGTAGCTTCAGGAAGATAGCTCGGTCCATATAAGTGGACGGGGTTCAGTGGAACTCTAATCCGATGCTTCCTCATTAGAGCGGGGTTTACATCGAGACACTTGTTTCAGTTTTGCATGCAAACAATTCACATATCTGCGTTCAAAAGTGTGTCATATCCCAACCAAACGCGACAGTGGCTTCTCTCTGCTGTGGTCACAGCTAACAGGGTAGGCGATTGATGGAATGGGAAGGCTGAGAAACTCACGCGACAGGTACGACACACAGACACGTGTATGGCTATCCGCTATGGTGACCACGACGTTTCTAGGTTTACCTCAGTCTCTCAGAATGTCTTAACAGTTTCGTTACAAAAACAATTTATAATCATTTCCCTGGTTAACCCTTCGAAGCCGAAGCTCGTCTAAATGATACTTAAGAATTCAGTCCGTACCGCGAAGAAAACACTACACTTCACCATTACAAAGATCAGCTGGTTAACGCTGTTTAAGGAAATAATCGCTGTTTATAATGAGACACGCATTGCGTACATAATATTTAGACAGAGAGTCCGTACCGCGAAGAAAACACGACACTTCACCATTACAAAGATCAACTGGTTAACGCTGTTTAAAGAAATAATCGCTGTTTACAGTGAGAATCATAAGAAACACATAAATGCAAAATTAAGAGGTACTGATTCTTGAAGCAGGCGGTACGCACAGTAACCCCTGGGCATTGAAGAGGTGACTTCTGCAGATGGACGGCTGTTGGCTCGCACGACAAGTGGGTCATCCATTGCAACAAAAGACGGACGACTCAAGATGAAACTGTCCTTCACACCAATAGCGCACAAAAGAATTGGCAAATCGTGAGCGAACACGAAGACAATCGGCAGTTGCCTAGCAACCCCGTTATAAGGTACTCGTTGCTACATCGTTCTCAGGTGACAGATGACGCCATCGGGACGCGAGAGGTTTGGTTAGTCAGAGAAACCTTCAGCCTCAGTACGACGACCGTCATCACATGCCCGAGTACCTCGCAGGGTGGCGCACACCAGGTTGTGTTTTAGGAGAAAACTTTAATTTTCATTAGGGCTGACAGAAACTCTGACGGTCGTCTAATTACACAAATTAATAATTTGTTTTTGGTAAACACCGCCATGTCACGTTCGAAGCCACCAAAATGGCGGGCAGTCTCGAAATGACAAGTTTAATTACGACAGACAACACCTTCCGTGCCGATAATTCGTTATAATGATGAAATGAAGACTCCCTGTCATTTATTTATACAGAGTTCTCGTTGGTGTAACTTCCGTTTCCAACATTTTACAACTTTATGCAGATACTTCCACAAAGACCCCAAAAAAACATAACGTTTCAATCATAAACGTCACGATAAAACACGCACCGATGGCGTATGGGGGGAGTTGAGACAGCACCTGACTCATCCGTGCACCACACAGAGGGAAAGACACCGCTTCGAACCCTGGCGTCTCTCGTCGCAAGTGCAACTGCCCCTGCGTGTTCTTATGACTCAGAAGACATGGACCGTCAATTTCATTGACTGTGCAGGCTCAAAGCTTCGTGCGAGCAGTAGCTTACAGTTCGTATCCTGGCAGCGGCAATTTGACAAGTCTCATCTCTCCACGGAAATTAATAACTCAACAAACACGCGAGTGGCGCTGTTTGCAGTAGACGTCAGTCAATTTCCAGTCGTAAAAATAAAAAAAAATGAAAACGAAAACAAACACGCCGGTGAGGGGGACTTCACTCGACACTTTCAATATGCCCCCCCCCCCATTCTGAATCACTTACTGGCAGAGGGGGAGGGACAGGGGGTCTGAAAGAGGCTGACAGGCAGATTAGAAACGAGAGCCCCACAGTAGGCACGCTGACGCAGTCACAGTCGGACCCTGACACCAGGACCTCGCAGAAAGGTGAGTGGCCACGCTCGGCACAACGTCTTTGTATCACCAGTTACCTTCTTCTAACGACCGGAATTTTCTGACCATCCGGTGAACTACATTAAGACGCTCTGTTATCTTATTATTTACTGCAATTGGGTTTGCGCCCGGTGGCAGTGGTTCTTACACTACGCAAGTTCTCTGCGAATATTCATAACATAATTGCTCTGATGTTCATTTATTCGAGATACAAAAATACTGACAATTGAATAAAAGTTTATTTGGATATTATCCATCGTCTAATGTACATTAGATTTATTTGGATATTATCCATCGTCTAATGCACATTAGATGTTACTACACAGTAATGTACATTACTGTGTAGGAACCTGAAGACGGAGATAGAGTCCCATCTCCGAAACGTCGTTTTACGTTTTATATTTACTAGACGATGGATAATATCCAAGGAAATTTTTATTCAATTGACTCTTCACCATCGTCAAGAAGTTTTAGATTTGATATACAAAAATACTGTTTGAAGGTTAAGAATGCCACAGATTTTCTGATAATAGTGGCAGGAAGCATCTCCGAAACGTCGGTAAACTTCTATCAGACTACACGGCGCAACATTCCAGAACACAATCACCTCAGATCTTACCTAAAAACGAAAAATATCGTGTGAACGATGGGAGGATAATATTAAAATTGTTCTCAAAGAAACATGATGCTCGTGTGTGAAATGATTTTATGTAGCTCAGCGCAGGAATTTGTTAAGAAAGTGGCGGAATGTACAATCGCTCGCCTCGCAGCAAAATAAAACCAGTTAATATCCTTTGCAGATCGTAACCTGGTTCGCATACGGAGATAGTAATGGCGTGCAACATCCAGCTAGTGACATCTGTGCTTCTGCTGGGAACTGCATCGCTCGTCAGATGCGCCTCAGAAGATGAAATACGTAAGTAGCTTCGGTACTCAGACCCTCAGTCCGCACTTCGACGCTCAGTGAGGTTAGGCGCCTTCAGACTGAACTTTACCCAGCGTCTCTAGACGAAGGACAGACTACCCCAATTAAAATAGGCCACGGCCACTTCCTTACAAAATTCTGCCAAATTCACCCACCGACTATTTTACATCTACTACGAATGCAGAGAGAGTCTTTCTGGCTGAACGACTGCAACCGGTTCAGGCAACTTCCCCGGTTACCACGAAACAGACGCTGCACTCGGTGAACTCTACAGGTCGTGCCGGTGGACTGACGCAATATTTTCAGTTACTCAACAGTGGCGCTTTAAAGTGCGGTGTTGCATAACTCGTTATATCTTCGGGGGGGCGGGGGCCACAAACTTTTTCCTCATACGGCGTCGGCATGGAACTAGGTCAGTGGCGTGTTCTCTGCTAATTTCAGCAGCTTTGGGGGTAAATTTCTTAAACAGCGAAATTACATAGTCGAAAGTCCGCCTTGCAATAGAGAATCAAAGGATTTTTAAAACTCGGTTCGTACGTCCGGGCGTGATAAGGAACGATCTAGCTGGCATTCCGAACAAAATAAGGAACTTCTCCATGGAACGAATGATGAGCAACCAAGTAACACTGTACACCGTTCACACATTTTTAAACAGCCACGTGCTAAGTATTTTAACACCCTGTATTAACGTTCACACATTTTTAAACAGCCACGTGTTAAGTATTTGAACACCCTGTATTATTAGGGTAATGCAGCGCGCACAGTACAGTCGAAATTCGGTACACAACATTTCAGTCTGAAAATCTGAAGAGACCACTTGAGAAACGTATGCAAGGATAATATTAAAACGCACGTTGAACAAAAAGAGAACAAGGGTACAGACTAACTTAATCTAGCTCAGAATAGAGTCCATGGGGGCTTATGTGAGCGCGGTAATGAACCATCGGTGTACCATGACAGCGAGCTGCAGTACCGACCGTTCCTTTCACTGTGCACGGCTCGGTCACTGAACCGAGAGAACTTTCTACTATGGGGAAATGCGAGAGAAAGCGACAGGTTCGTGTCACGAGGACAGACGGGGCGTGGGCGTGGGTGGAAGGTGCAGAAATGTGCGGCCGCTGACTCAGATCTGACTCTGTCAGTTTCTGAGGCATTTGTACCTTAGCTGATGTAGCGTCATTTAAGCGGCCAAGTACGCTGTGCGGTGAAGGGGAACGGGCTATCGGACGCTTGCAGTCACTTGCTTCTCGGCTGAGGACGTCGCCATGGTTACGCGCTGGACGACACTCCGAAATTCTCACGCGCTAATTCGAGTAGGCCATGGCAACAATTGTCTTCCTGCAAGTCGCATCTGCTGAGTGTGGTCATAGAATGTTTCATCAACCATGTCCCATAAAGACAACTTTCTTCAGATTAAAAAGTTTCATCTTCTGAAAATAACTACATCGTTGGTTGGTTAGTTAGTTAGTTAGCCAGTCTATCTACGCATTTGTTAAGCAGCAACAGAACTCACGGTGAGAAAATAACGTAACGCGTGGGATTAAATTCAAATAACCGAATCACGACTGTCGTTCGACTGAAAATCCGCGGGCCACTTAATAACTTAACCCTTCGTCCAGTGGGACCTTTCATGCGTCAGATGATGAGCAGGGCGACGCAAGGAACTCGAAGTGATGAACCTCGTCTTCTATCCCAACAGTCACTTGTTCATCGCAATGAATGCGACATTCATCACTGAGCAAGGCTAAGCTGCTCATAAAATCTGTGCTTGTACGCTCAACGTATGAGAGTCTTTGTCGAAGGCTTCTATAAATCTGAGCCACTTTTAGTTAGGACTGACGATTCTCGCAAGATAAAAGGATAATATTAAAACGAATCTCACACAAATCGTTTGTGAATTTGTGGACGTGATCGTCTGACTACTGTCATGAACCTTCGGGTCCACTAAAGACTGGGATTTCTGTAACTAGATGAGCGACTGTCAGCTGCTTCATGGAGTTGTTTGGTTCGTAACTGCAGTTCGCCTTTCCCCTCTAAGCGCGCCTGTGTCCAACAGCGCCGAGTAAGTTTCGACTACGGCCGAGAGTTCAACGAGCAGATTCATTTTCGATGCGTCTGCTCGCGGTCGGAACATGGACACAAATTCTGAGATCGGAGATAATCTGGAGGCAATCCAAACAGGAAGCAGCGCCCTGGGCCTGCGAGACGAGCGTTTTAATCACCGGCTGACCGATGCAGTGGCGTTGCTCGGATAATGACCGCGAACAGCAGAACGACCACCCAGGTTGTCCTAACGATCTCCGATTTACGGGTTGGTAAAAATAAAGAAAATAAAATGAAAAAAGAACTTGTACGTCCACGGACCAGATTCCTCGTAGAGAATGGCGTATCCCGTACGGTGCATTCAGCTACTCAAATTACCCGCATTTAGATAAACCCGAAAGTTAATCGTCGTCCCGAGCCAGATGAACCCATCTGACACCGCCCCAGTCTACTTCCCTAAAGATCCATCCAGAAATTATCCTCCATCTACGCCTTGGTCTTCTGAGGATATGTGAGGGTAAACTGGATTCAGCTGGCTCAGGATAGGAACCGGTGGCGAGCTCATGAAAACACGGCAATTAAGCTGCTTGTTCCATAAAAGGCGAATCATTTCTTGACTAGCTGAGCGACTCACTACAGTCTTTCATTCGCCTGCAGCATTACGTGTAGTCCTCACGCAACACAGCGGTGTCGGAGAAGTTGCCGCCCCAGCACGGCGGATTCGCCTTTTCCCGTGTCGTATCCGCTCCCTTCCTCAGCGGTTACCAACACCAAGGCCACGCAGAGGTCAACAGACACAAATCCGTGAGCCGAGAGGCTGAAAATGTCGCAAGTCGACGCGCACCGCAATCTCCTCACATCTGTCTCAGACTTCACAGACGACATTCCGATCTCCTTCCTCCTTGTGAGACACTTCGACTGCGATAACCATTTCGGAGAACGGAGAAAGGCAGCTTTCTGCAAGCTCACTCATGGCCTGTGTTCATTTCCAGCGTCCTACGTCAAGCAGTGCCACAAGGGGGACCCCAAGATCGTGGACTGCATCACTGGAGCTCTGCACCACCTGAGGCCTTACCTCGCGCAAGGTACGTCTAGCAAGCAACGAGTTATGCCGTTCATAGCACGCAAAGTGCTGTCGCGAGTTTTCACTTGTTTGGATCGTGTTCCAGGGATCCCTGAGATCGAGATGCCCTCTGTGGAGCCGTTCAGAATGGATGAACTGTCCCTGTCCCTGACCACAGGGCCCAACGGCTACAAGGTCACGCTCAGGGACCTTGACATCTACGGCGCTAGTAACTTCTCAGTATCCGACCTGAAGTGAGTTGGTATCAAGTCAGGCAGAGCCGAAATGTGCCGAGGCATGGCGCCATGTAGGTAGAGCTCCACCAATCACCAAAATCTCGACTCCAGCCTCACGCTCCGGTTAACATTACCCCCAGAGAAAATTCTCTGTTTTTTCTGCAGAGTCTTGGCTGGGGAGCACAGAAGTTCTCAGTGCCAAGACGGGGCTGACTAACTCAGCGGTCACTGCAGATCGGCTCAGAACTCGGGAATAAAGTATTAATAACGCTACGTTAATGTATTTTGACACATCTATAAGCATGATCGATCGGTGCGAACAAGTGATCAGTATTTAATGTGCACGTGCGTCTGGAAAGAACGAATTGCAACCCAGCCTCTCCTTCATCATAAAACAAAGCCTAAGTTTCCTTACCGTTTTCGATCAAATCTGGTTCGGTCAACCAAGTGAATACCCCCCTTCAATTTAAACCAAGTTAATCCGGTATAGCTGAGTCCGTGAAGAGACTGACTACGTACTGAACGACAGGGGTCTGATTCCCGGCAGGTCGTGGACTTTCTTTTCGCCAAGACCTGTTTGAGGACTCACCTAGTGGGGCACGTAGTAAGCCGCCTAAATTAAGAATGCGTGGAGCTACACCTCCACTCTCACGAACACCTTTAAGAGAAAGTTCAAATGAGGGCCAAAGCCAAGTTGAACTTCTTCGACTCTTTGTGGATTTCTAATAGGCCTGGAAGGAATTCATATAAGGGGACTACGTTAAAGTAATTTCTAAGATCCATATTATTTAAGGGTCCAATACACATCCAGGCTATTTCACCCAGCGTTAACGTAAGAGAAAAAGTATTTAACAATAGTTACAGTGACCATAAAGATAAGCATAATAAGCTCTTAGTGATGGCCAGAAAATCTCATATTATTAGAATACATTCAATAAGAATGCACCACGGAATGCGATGTCTAAGCTCTTGCTCGACTTACGACGGAATGCGCAGACTCAGCGCACCTCTGAGATGCCACCTCGAGGACTCACGTGCGCTGTACTATACGCTATTAGCCTACAGGGTGTTTCTTACGAGACTTCGTCCCATTCGGACCGAAACTCGGTTCTGTCCCCTGAAAGAGCGAGGTGAATATTGTGACCTAACTTCGCAGGTTAAGCGACGGCAATGAGCCCTTCAAGGCGCACATCAAGATCCCGGAGCTGAAGATCAACGCGCGCTACACGAGTAGCGGAGTACTCATCATCCTGCCGGCCAGCGGACAAGGCAACTTCCACTCGACTCTCGGTGCGTATCCCCGATAAACACCCTGTATATAGCGATCAAGGCCAACCATAATTATGTCTATACGTGGAGAGGGAATTATTGACTAAATCTGAATTTAACTTTTTTGTATTAAAGTCCTTCTCGAGAAAATAACAGTCGCTCAAATACTCAAGAAATTCCCCGAATTTTGTGGAGTCCATTTAAAGTTAATTTCCGCGTCTATAACAGTCCGACATTGATTGTAATTAATCTCCTGCGTCGGCGCGGGGTTGCAGGTGTGTGGACGAAACAACCTCTAGGGCTCTACAGGCACTCAGGGAGTTCCCTAGGGAAAATAAATTTTGTTGCAAAGAAAATCCGCCTTTCCACCTGCACAAATGAAGACGTTAATGAGCGAATGTTTCGTTGCTAGGCGACATCATAGCGATGGTCCAAGGCACGATCAGCTCGCAACAGCGGCAAGGGCACATGTACCTGCACGTGGACACTCTCGACATCGACCTGAACATCAAGACAGTGCGCATGCTCGTTAAGAAGGTCTTCAACAACAACAGGATACTCAGTAAGTACTGAGGCGAGGTCGGGCCAATCCGCACCACCGACACACTCGCCCTTCCACCTCGAACCTTCCGCAGATCCTTCAATGACGAGTTCTTCCGTCATAAGACGCCAACGGGGCTGACTAACGTTGGACTACTTTGTTCCAGCCGAGGCGACTAACCTCTTCCTGAGGGAGAACGGACAGGAAGTGCTGAAGGCGATGATGCCTCAGCTACGACTGAAGCTTTCTCAGGTGTTCAAGGGAATAGCGAATCAGCTGCTAACTCACGTGCCCACGGACACGCTCCTCCTGCCAGCGAAAGTGTAGTACAGCGGCCGAAAGCGAATCTATTAGAAACTTTAAACTTGAGAAATTCAGTGACACTTGCCGACAGTCGTAAAAGACGTTCAGGTGTGTATTCAAAGTACCAAGTTTGGCTGAAAGTAGCCGGGGCAGTTTCCCACGAGATACTGTGTGAAGACACGTGTGCCACGAAAGCAGGCCGACTGCTGACAGTGCATCCCGAAACGTCGTCACTTCAAAGTGCACGCACGTTCGGTACACAGAAATTACAGTGAATGACGAATAAATCTGCTTCAAATCGAATTTGTTTATTTTCATTTGAGGGGATTTGTAAGCCGGCTTCTTCAACAAATCTGCCTTCGCGTGGGTTGAAGTTGCAAGAGTCCGGCGCTGAGGGAAATCTTTCGAGTTATAAACGCAAAACAATCTTTATCGGGACATAACAAATAATGTTCTGTACGGTACTTTCGAAAAAAAAATGTTCAGGTTACTTTGATGAATGAGAACAGAAATCCATTTTCCTCCCCCCCAGTACCAACATACCGTGACTTTGGCGCTGAATACACCAGAGGCACGAGTCCCAGTAGATGAGGGGAGGGGGGGCAGTTTTATTGTCTCTAATGATAATGACGGCCATTTGCAGGCAGTGGCATGGCCCCGCTGTCCCCGATAATGGCCGGCTTGGATTAACTCTCTGCATAAGAAACGAAGACGTCATTCAGGTACCCAGAAAGAACAACAATGCAGGTGCCCGTATTGTGTCAAATTCTGCAAAAAAGTTCGTCACAAGAAAATACCCTGCCAATTAATAAATCTGTGAGGTCGTGTTCAGAAAAAAGCGAGATGCAACCTTTGGTACATCAGATTTCTCTGAAAGGAGCGACTGTTCCATTGTTTATTTATCCCACAACCATTTACATAAACCCCGATGAACTGTGTCCTACAAGACTCCCCAAAACGTCTGGACATTGCCACTGGAACAAAATTGATTTAGTGTCAGCAAAGTCGGAAACCGGAATTTACGTCTAGATCGAGGAAGCCAACAAGCAGTCGTCGTATTAATAATTCCCATACGAAGGCGACGATGAGACGTGTCAAGCGACAGGTAGCGTCAGCGGAAGTCGTCCGTCAATTCTGTGTCTGTTGATTGAAAGTTAATGTTTATGACCTTCCTTGGCGAAAGCTCAAAAGCGTTGACGTCAATCGTGAATTACACATTCAGCTGTTAAACGGCACTTCTGCGCCCTGACGAAGCTTCACTGGGCTCTCAGCTAATGGGGGAGTGGGAGGTGGTTCTCGAGTATCGTTCGTGTGATTTTTATATAGAAACGTACAGACAAATGATTGGCTGGTCAACGAACAGTGGTCAGTTCTGGAAGATAGTTTTCTAGGGTCCGAAAAGGATTCAGGCGTTCTACTCATTTCTCTACTCGGAGAATATAGAAATTCTCTCACTTAGAGCCCCACTTATGTTTTCACCAAGTCCAGAAAACGATCATGAAAATCTCTGCAAAATGTCTGCTCTGGAAATGGCCGTCTTCTGGATTTGTAGCGCCGCGTAGCCTCGCCGAAGTTTCATAGGTTCTTACTGACTCCATCACCAAGTCGACGAGTCTTATTGGCGGAGTCAGCAAAGACCTCCGAAACGTCGGCAAACTTCTGCCAGACTATACTGAAGGCGCTACAACCCAGAAGACGGCCATCTTCGGACTCTCTGTCCAGCTTTGGGTGAAACTGAACTTAAAACCTTTCCGTCTGCAGAAAAAATCTCTCGGGGAGAGGGCGATAGAAAATATGAAATCGCTCTACATCGCGTACAAACGAAATTATGTGACCGTGACGTCAGCATTCTAGCCAAGCGGATGACCTACACTCGGCAAGGCCTGAGAAGCTACCAGTCGCTGGCTGGTCCCATGTCAGTTAAACCACCTGCAAATGATACCAACAACGTATTCTGCTCACCAAGCAAGTCTCTGATAGCAGGACACAAAAACCAGAGAAGATCCTCTGACGGTTACTCAACTTGCATTCATAAGATCCATCTTAATGTTATCCTCCAATCTCTTATTAGGTTTCCACTGCAGCTGTGTGTTTTCTGACTTAAAATTATTTTCTGATTTCCTGACTTAACCTTTTCGTAGTCTCTCCAAAGTAACTGTTACAGAAGCTAAGAATAAAAAAAGTCACTGACATAACAACTTCTGCATTGCCGTTCGCCGACTAAAGGACACGCGTGGAGACTCCTTTCAAAACAGCAGTGACACAGCAGGTCATCGAATCAGTAAGGCCCGGCGATCGGATATCACGATGGATGTCTTTAGACCCTTATCTTACTGGCAAAGGCTGGGATACTGCGTTTAAATAGCCCACGACCACTTCCTTTCACATTTCCAATTGATCATTCGCCCTGCCGAGTAAGTGAACTCGATTAAAACGTCATTAAACAAGCTTCCTGTCCTTTAATCAGTCGTTTCGACGTCAGATGAACCTAACTGCACAATTGACGACATTTGTGCAGGGGGATACAGGTGTTGCATTGTGGGTTGGGTGATGAGAGGAGCAAACACTTCTGGTAGGCTGATTGTCATCTTACCGGCCGTAACTGTACATTTCTCGACCAATCGCGGCCGCGGAATGCGCCTACCTGTTGGCAGGTGCGCGGAAGAGTGGCACACGTAGCATGGCAGGCGACAGAAGTGTATCGCCGTTAAGACACGCGACGTAACCCAAAGGCGGACCGTCCGGAGACGCCTGACCTTGGTGTTCGTAATGAAATTCTCTGAAATGCACAGGTCAAATGAGAGGGCGGCTTTCGAGTATTCAATTTATTTAGTGTTCTGTCCGACGACAGGTCCATATGAACAGGATCCTTCCATCCTTTTCTCTTCTCGGACTGGGACCTGTTCATATACGTTCTTGGCAGATGATCCAGAAGTGGTTTGCCATTGCCTTCTTCTGTGTGTGAATGGAGCAATTGTTGGGATGCCACGGAGGAAAACTCCGTGTTGCCTAGACCACGGCCTTGCCCAACACAAGTTATAAATTCGGGCACCGCCGGGCATCGAACCCGAGACCTCCAGGATTACAAGGCCAGCGTTCTAACCGCTAGACCACCGTGGGTGGTAGTATTCCATTATCACACCAATAAGTGCTCGTACGAACTAAGATAAACCACTTCCACGTTGGTCTTGGTCGACGTTTACTGACGTAATTATTGCCTCCATTGTCAGGGCGATACCACACGGCGTTACAGCCCAGAAGTCCAGCATCGACACAACCCTGAGAACCGCTGACATTATCAAAGGAAAACCACGTGAAATATCATCTAGAATAGCAGATGTCCGAGACTACGATCGAAGGCAGGACCTCTAAGAGTACCAACCACTCAACTCGACTTACAGCCAAAGAAGATACGAAACTGCAAACTGCCAGCTCGTCGACATTGAACTTCGAAGACACTTTTTGAGCGCCTTGTGCCACCTTAGCACGGGCTCCGTGGGTCGTACCGCGCAAGCAGCCCCCCTCCCTCCCTCCCTTAAGCAACCTTTGTCCGCGAGGGTAAATAAATAGAGCCAGTTCATTCAACGGCAGTCGACAGGGCTCACAGAAGCAGAGACGAAGCCCGCCTGATCTCGTCACTCCGCTAGGTCGAGTCCTCTCCCGTTACCACAAGGTAAGTGGAGTAGGTCACATCCACCTCTTCATGAAACAAGGGCATCGCGGAACAGTTCGAAGACGACTGACTTCTTCTGCGATGTTGCGCCGTGTCTGGTACTCACTGCCTCCACCATCAGGGCGATCGCGACAAATACTGTGTGTCAGATGACACTGAAGACAAATACTCGTATGTGTCTCTCCTCAGGAACTGACATCAAACGTCTGGAGGACAATAACGCGTGTTCTTGTGGATGTTACGTAACTTTCTGCGAATTTCTGTCAGTTTGCCAACGTTCATCCGTTCGAACTGTTCCTCTGTTCTGCCCTTGTGGGCGTAGAACCACAGTTGGGGGTGGGTGGCTTCTGCATCTGCTGACCACTGGGGTGCGTGACCTCTCGTTAATACTTGACCTTCAGGAGCCGAGAGGCCTAACGGAAAGTAGCAACCGAGAGAGCGAGAAATAGAGTAGCCACGGCTGTGTGGGGGAATTTCTTACTACCGAGACACCAGTTGGTACCAGACACAGCGTCCCGTTTCGTTCTCGTGAGGATTTAATTTCCAATTTCAGACAGCTGACCTGACAATGTTTTAAAATGAGCACCAGTCATCAAGGAACGTAAGTAGTTGGGTAACAGTTGTTGAATAAGTAAAGTAGGGACGGTGCTACGACCTGCACACGCCGAAAGGTCCAGAGGCGAGTCACTTGTCGACTACTGACCGCCTCCTTAGTCACTTAACTGTCTCAGCTTAGTTCGGCGTGCTTTCATCTCGAGGGTGAGAGATTGGCGTCAGAAGTGACCGACACAGCGCGTAACCAAGACGCCAAGAGACAAATCGGGAAAGTTCCTTCAGCTCCCACAGCAACGTCGTGATGAGGAAAAATCTTGACCGCACGCTCACAAGAACCAGTGGCCTTTCTTACGAAAAATGTTTGTGTCTACAGCTCAGCCAGTCGGAAACTGCGGCAGATGCAACCTCCGCGTCCTAGATTTCCTTTGTTTCTCGAAAGCTAACTGTTGCTGCTGCAAAACGACCGACAGCAGAATCAAATTGCAAGCTCGTATATTTATAATACGTATTTAAAGATCCAGTCCGTACCTCAAAGGAAACACAACGATCAATTGGTGAGGGAAATAATTCGCTGTTTATTCTGAAGATCTTACGATACAGATAGTCTCAATGCAGTGTATGAGAAAGAGAAACGCAGAATTACCGATTGTGAAAGCAAGTGGTACACATAGCTACCACTTGGCTTCAAAGGGCTAATATTTGTTTTCTCCTTGTCTCGTCAGATGGCGTGTTCGCGTGTTCTTCCTGCAGCTCTAATCTTCTGCTTCGCCTTGGGCCCCCTGCTCGCCCAGAGGTCGCCACAAAGGCACCAAGTCCGTAAGTTGAGGCGTCAGTCCGTCGTACCACGAATTATCGTAGTCCCTGCCTCTGCACTTGGCAAGGGGTCACTCTCACTGGCAAAAGGTGACGCGGGCAGACATTCAGCGTGGCTCGCGCTGAACGGCTTCATAGTGCAATCCTCGAATCTACCGGATTGAGCTGGCATAAGTGGAAGTAGATAATCTGCCACGATACAGCGATAAGAAATTTGCTCATGAAATTTTCCATCTTCTCTTCAGAATTCTGACTGTTTCTTACGTTCATATTTTCTAAATTTATTGGACAAACATCCGAGGCCAATTCGCCTTAGTCGTCACAGCTGCAAATTTGTAAACAAACTCTCAGGAGAGGACGTACTGATGGACAGTCCTAGGAGTACAAGAGACGGAATTGTTTGGTCACAGCGTTCCAAGCGTAAATGGCGGGATTATAATGTTTCTGCCGGACGATCTGCGCATAGGAAGGACGTTTCCCGCAGGTTAGGTTATTCCGGCAATTCAGACGCTGGTCAGCCATGCTTTTTTCCTAGCCTCGACTACGTTACATTTCAGAATAACGCTTTAAAATAGGCCACAACTTTTCCGGCAACATGCCACCGTTTAAAAGCCAGTAAGATTATACGCAGTCGTAGCTCTAGCAAACAAACAAACAAACAAGCCGACGGAACGGCCAAGCGCTCACTTTGGTCCGGGTGTGTTTCAGCCTACTTCATCCACCAGTGTCACAAGACCGACCCCCACGTCAACGAGTGCCTCGCAGAAGCGACCAATCACCTGGCGCGTTGTTACAGCAGAGGTGAGTGACGGCTGCTACATTATCACAGCAGAGTGCTTCTCTAGAAGCTGACGGTCGCTCAGCTACCCAACAAACGAGGGTGAGAGATTGGCGTCAGAAGTGACCGACACAGCGCGTAACCAAGACGCCAAGAGACAAATCGGGAAAGTTCCTTCAGCTCCCACAGCAACGTCGTGATGAGGAAAAATCTTGACCGCACGCTCACAAGAACCAGTGGCCTTTCTTACGAAAAATGTTTGTGTCTACAGCTCAGCCAGTCGGAAACTGCGGCAGATGCAACCTCCGCGTCCTAGATTTCCTTTGTTTCTCGAAAGCTAACTGTTGCTGCTGCAAAACGACCGACAGCAGAATCAAATTGCAAGCTCGTATATTTATAATACGTATTTAAAGATCCAGTCCGTACCTCAAAGGAAACACAACGATCAATTGGTGAGGGAAATAATTCGCTGTTTATTCTGAAGATCTTACGATACAGATAGTCTCAATGCAGTGTATGAGAAAGAGAAACGCAGAATTACCGATTGTGAAAGCAAGTGGTACACATAGCTACCACTTGGCTTCAAAGGGCTAATATTTGTTTTCTCCTTGTCTCGTCAGATGGCGTGTTCGCGTGTTCTTCCTGCAGCTCTAATCTTCTGCTTCGCCTTGGGCCCCCTGCTCGCCCAGAGGTCGCCACAAAGGCACCAAGTCCGTAAGTTGAGGCGTCAGTCCGTCGTACCACGAATTATCGTAGTCCCTGCCTCTGCACTTGGCAAGGGGTCACTCTCACTGGCAAAAGGTGACGCGGGCAGACATTCAGCGTGGCTCGCGCTGAACGGCTTCATAGTGCAATCCTCGAATCTACCGGATTGAGCTGGCATAAGTGGAAGTAGATAATCTGCCACGATACAGCGATAAGAAATTTGCTCATGAAATTTTCCATCTTCTCTTCAGAATTCTGACTGTTTCTTACGTTCATATTTTCTAAATTTATTGGACAAACATCCGAGGCCAATTCGCCTTAGTCGTCACAGCTGCAAATTTGTAAACAAACTCTCAGGAGAGGACGTACTGATGGACAGTCCTAGGAGTACAAGAGACGGAATTGTTTGGTCACAGCGTTCCAAGCGTAAATGGCGGGATTATAATGTTTCTGCCGGACGATCTGCGCATAGGAAGGACGTTTCCCGCAGGTTAGGTTATTCCGGCAATTCAGACGCTGGTCAGCCATGCTTTTTTCCTAGCCTCGACTACGTTACATTTCAGAATAACGCTTTAAAATAGGCCACAACTTTTCCGGCAACATGCCACCGTTTAAAAGCCAGTAAGATTATACGCAGTCGTAGCTCTAGCAAACAAACAAACAAACAAGCCGACGGAACGGCCAAGCGCTCACTTTGGTCCGGGTGTGTTTCAGCCTACTTCATCCACCAGTGTCACAAGACCGACCCCCACGTCAACGAGTGCCTCGCAGAAGCGACCAATCACCTGGCGCGTTGTTACAGCAGAGGTGAGTGACGGCTGCTACATTATCACAGCAGAGTGCTTCTCTAGAAGCTGACGGTCGCTCAGCTACCCAACAAAATTCCCCGCCTTTCATGGAACCCGAAGTTCATTACCATATTCACAATAGCCGGCTCCATCTTTGTATTATCTTTCCATCTACGGCGAGATCTTCCGGTTTTCCTACCAAAATTTAGTATCCGCTTCTCATTTCAACGACCGCCTCAATTATCCTAATATCATCGTGATATTGAGCACATGCTTCGATATTCCTCAGAAACTTCACACTTGCTAGTTTCACGCTCTGGCAGATTTAATCCAGTTCAATGACTCCAGTGCATTCTTTGGATACGAGGCTCGGAAGGACGCAGGTCGCCTGTGTCTGAACTACAACATTCCCTGTGGCGTCAGACTTACGAAACACCCTGTACACGTAATGTAAGAGACGCTTGTGAACCTTGAGTTCCATAAAACCACGAGTTAATTGATTTCTAGTTCGTCTTTATTAGACACATACATGACCTTGAGATTGAAATGGACGCTTAATGAGCGCGCAGCAGCCTGTAGTTGGGGGTGACATCATCACGGCGAAATCATACTTCACAGAAAGTACTTATTGTTTTTCAAATGACATTTCTATTGTCCGGCGGGCACGGAGCAGACAGGTAACAACTCCCTCATTACCGCGGGTAGCGGGTGGACGCGGCGAATATATGGAGTGAACAGTCGCGGACAGCCGACAAGGGGTGGTTCTGAAGCACAGAGGAGGGCAAGGGGATACATATCACCACAAGATGACAACAACGAAGGATTACACAAGATAAGAGGCTGGTAACACCAACAGCAATTTTTGCTTTACGCACACGAGGATACATGGAAGAAACAGGTGGGATGATAATATTAAAACGGATCTCAGAGTAAGACAGAGCGGAGCGTATTCAACCGGGGGGGGGGGCAATTGGAGGGCTCTCGCGAACACCTTCCGGGTCCACGGAAGATTGCGAGCGAATTGCTCTGATTATAAACCAGCTTCTAAAAAGAACGACTCCGCTCGACGAAGGCGGGCGAAACGGGAAGTTCACTTTCTGCTCGGCGCCCCTGACCCACTTTCGCGATGAACCGCGCTGGGTCGACGCCCTGTCAGTCATTGCTTTGGTACGTCTGTACATCCACGGCCAGCGCAAAGAGAAGGAAAGGAAGAAGAAGCTGTTCTGGCAACAGAAGGCGAGGGTCCGACAAGCAGCGCCTTCAAGCGATCGACAGCTGCACGAGGAACTTCTCGTAGCTACAGGATTTCCGTTTTCAGCGTTGGTGTCGGTCCGAAACTCTCGATGTTTTTCCTGGATTACACGGGATTTTCGTTGTTTTTAACGACGCTTACAAGTACACAGGCCACATGACTTCGGATGGGCCAATGAGTGTTAGAGACGCAGAATTTTTCTGGAGGGACTCGGGGAAAAAATTAGTTGAAGATTAATCAGGAATAAGTAAGATTTTTCAATTCATATTTCTACAAGATCCGCCCTCAAGTGTTGTCCTCCACTCGCAAGCCGCGTCTACTAGAGGAACGCGCTGACGAAATGTTCAAATCGCACTTCTGTACATTTTCCCCGCACAAACACGAAGTTCGTGTCTGACTCAAACCCAGCGGTTAGGAAATTTTTGCGTGCTCAATCAAAGAACACAGGAGTCACGACGACACTGATGTCATTTAAGGCCACTGACGACGGGGATCTGGAAGACTTTTACAGACAAAACTCGGAAGAAGGCGCGGATGTTAATTCATAACGCCAGCAGCTACCACACTGACATTCCCCCGAAATCCGTGGTCATTTTGGATTGTTGGACGTGATCCTTCAACATCTGCAATTACAGACAACGCTGCAGGCAACGTCGAAGTGACCGTCTGTGTGCATTGAATTTACACGGTCTCCTAGCAACCAAAGCGGACAGTACGGAAGGCGTTCATATCGAAGACAGAAGACTAGGACCTCACGAAGGGCCCTCAGAGCGGCGACTAGCACTTCGATGGCCTTGAAAGAGGGCTTCAGTGGCGCTAGCTAGCTCTTCCGGCGGAAACATTGGCTTGTGAACAACCGAGATCAGAAGACGGAAACTACTGGGTACGGACCGCCACAACCTGCAATCGTAAGACGACGAGAGACTGCAAGGTGTTGGCTGAAACGGCGTCCGACCCCAACAAACACTGTAATTCAACTTTCCGTGTTCAAAACTGGAACGACGAAACCCATACTCTTAAGCTAACATGAATTAATAAAGTACATGTTTTTGTAATTATTTTTCCATAAAATATTTGGGTCCAGAGAAACCATTTCTATGTTTAATAAAGTTGCTGTAACGCACATTCGCATGGGCGGAGCTGGGACACAATTTCCTCGGCATTAATTCGTACCTGTTTCCGAGGTTAAGAATGCGTGGAGCTGCTTCGCCCTACTCCTCAACACGTCTTCACGGAAACACGTTTCACCTCCGTCAACACCGTGTGTTCCAGGTATTCCGGAACTGGGGGTCACCGACGTGGAGCCCATCCTCATCGACGAGATCTCCATCGCCCTGGGAAGTGGCCCCAACGGGTACCGAGCCACGTTCAACGACATCGAGGCGTTTGGCGTCAGCAACATGACCATAGTGGGCATGAGGTGAGCAGTCTCCGAGTTTCATGACGCTGATTCATCTGTGCGTGGTTGCTTAATACAGGGACAAAGAGGCCACGGGCCTGCCGACCGGGGTTCAAGTCCCGGCACGGGCAGTTTTCTTCCCACCACGACCGTGAGGTCTCAACGCCCAAAGAGGTACTGGAGGGGCGGGGAGGGGCTCTTCACCGGGAGGAAATGGGGTAAAGCGGCCGGTGCTACCTTAAGCACACGGACAACTTAGAGGTTAAGTGAAATGCAGGAAGATATTTAATCAACTCCTTAAGTATTTTATGTAGACTACGGCGCGAAATTGATGTTGACGACTGTTGTGGTATCTATTTAACAACGTTCCATCACATGAAGGGGTTATTTAAATCCAAAGTGGGTAGGAAGCAGAGACGTCGTACCTCAACACAAACAGAGACGCGACAGAACTAGCAGTCGAGCTGTTTATCCTGGTGACACGAGTTCAAGACCCGGGCCTCAGGAGACTGACGGCACAAACCGACGATGATGATGATGACAATTTAATGGGACAGGACTAGCATGAGAAACTTACGGCAACGGATGTGTTTCCAGGAAATTGGGTCTTCTGAAAGCATAGTTAAGTGTGAGTCACGGAGAATAATTTACATACATTCATCTTATCGTGCATCGTGACGCGGAAAATTGACATCGAATGGCCAAATTTGTTGCAAAAGCACACTAACTCCACCCTCAACACAGAGGATCATTTCCAGTCACTATACGTAGTTATCTACGACCTCTCTCGATTAGAGCGAGCTTGTAATGGGGGAAGGAGGCGGTTATAATCTCGGCACTAGGTGGTGAGTGGCTGTTTTATGCCCGGAGTCCGTTAGATCAGAGGCTTGGTGGGACCCACAGCCGGTCCGTACTGTATACAAAGTGGCGAGAAATCTTCCCCGCCCGTATCGAGAATCGAGTCCAGACCTCCTGACTCCGCGTCATAAATGTGTTTCACAAAGGGTCGAAATCTGAAACTTTCTAGGAGGGAACAACCCACTGGAGCAGGAAACGAGATTTCGTGTCTCTCGCAGACTTGACGAAGAAGTTTCTCACTTCTTTTGGTCGGGTACCACTTCGACTCTCGGGGATGAGCCGCGTCAAATGCCGAAAGCTTTCGGCAGGCATTGCAGTTGCCATCTTGAGGGCGAAATTGTTGTGGTGTCTACGAGGCAGTAGGTGGGGAGTGAGCGGGAAGCGAAGGATATGATTGGCATTCACTCTGAAGACGGCGACTGCAATTTCTGTCGAAACGTCAGAAAACTTTCAAAGAATCTCGAACGAGGATCGTTATCCAGCGGCCCAAACTTTGTTTCAGGACGGACCTGAATTCGCTGCAGTTTCAGGTCAGCTTCTACATCCCCAAGATTACCGCGCGTGCGCACTACAAGAGCTCTGGGGTGCTGATCATGGTACAAGCCTCGGGGGGCGGAGACTACTGGGGAGAGTACGGTAAGTGCAACAGTGGCTTAGGTACAGACGACACGTTCTATAATTTTGATCAGCTGCTCTGCAGACAAAGAGTGAATATGGAATTTCGGCTTTGGGTTTTTTGTAAGACGCCGACATCCAAGAAAAAGAGTTGATGGAAGAATAATATTAAAACAGCCCGTAGAGAAACAGGTTTTGGGGATGGCATTTGGAACGCGGCATTAGCAGTGTTGAACCTTCGGGTTCTCTACTGCCACAGTCTTCAGTTACTCATAGGCCACTCTTGCTTAATGTCCCGCTGTTCGTTTCAGAGGGCGTGAAGGCCAAAGTTTACTTCCAGGCCCAGGCCCAACAAGTCAAGGGCAGGAACTACTTGCAGGTGGAGGACATGAAAATGGACTTCAGCGTAAAAGATATCAAGATGGGCATTGAGAACCTGCACAACGGCAACACTGTACTACGTAAGTAAGTCTCTGTAAAGCGACCGCGCGTCTCAGGAGAGCCCATTTGCCAGAGGTTCCTTGGGCCCCAGAACCCGAAATTGATTGAATTTGATTTCCCGCCCTGCGCGCAATCGAATTCCCGTCATCCAGCCTCTACCTATACCGAGGCATGAGGGACGCAAGTAGACAGACACGACTGGGGCAACATGGAAACCAACAGCGAGGTTCGGCGGCAATGGTCATGAATCCTCGACCTCGGTTATCGAAAAAAAAAATGTTTTTGTATAAACGAATGAATAATGAATGATATACAGGACGGTGCAAAAATCAGGACACACTTTTTAAATCAAAACGCATGCGAAAATGTTATTTCCTTACGATTCCGCATTCAACTGAATCACCTCCCTTACAAATACTTTTACAAGGACCTAACCTGAGTGACAGTTTTACATTAACTATTGAAAATGGCCGCCTTCCATGCATGTGAGGGATGACCAATGTGACCTTGCTTTTGTAGCGCGCTGTAGTCTGATCACTTGTCGTGCGGATGTTACAGAGGCAGCCCTGAATCTGTTCATCAATTCAAACGCACAGGGACTGCTTCAAGAAATGAAACCGGACATCAAGAAGAAGATGGTCCAGAAGACGAGGAACTTCGTCAACAACCTCTTCAGCAGAATACCGTACGACATGTGGATGCTGCAGTGACGAGGACACCAGAAGAGCGAACGCATTTTTAAATAGCAGCAACAAACAAGTTTCCGCAAAATTAAAAATTTACAGAACGAACACATTCGTCAGAATCGGGAAATCTCTGAGAACCCTTCTATAAGAAAGTTTCTGCGTTTGATGGAAGTGCCTCGAGAAAACATCTGAAATGCCGCCGGACTCTATGAACACCCTGTATAACAAAAGACGTGTCTTGCTGCACACGTGTGTGGAAACGGTGAAAATCACAGACGAACTTAAAAAAAACTGTCGAAATTCGGGCATCGCTTTAAGTTCTTGTGAAGTTAATGTAGATATTTGAGAGACAAAGGGGAGGATATTTTCTATCTACTCGATGGCAGATGGCCACCAAGCAGACAACTGGCACGAGGCTAAATTACTTTCTGACAAATCACAAAGCAAATATCAGAAAATTCTATTGTCTCCTTCGTTTGTTCGGCCTGCAGCCCAACCTAGTGACAGGAATGAACATTAAAAATAATTCGTAATCTGTAAATTCGTGCAGAAGACGTTTGAATATGGCGAAGAGGGAGTTTCGAACAGACGCGCTGATACGTGCGTCCGTTAACGATTGAAACATTCACAGAAAACAAAGACACGCGACCTTGCCTCTCTGGGCAGGCAAAATTCTACGAATTACAATTTGCACATGAAACCCAAATTCCAAATGTATTCTATCCATTTAAATATCTGGGCGTTGTGCCAATATCATACGAAACGAATTCAGGACAAAATCACGAATATTTTGGTCTCCTACACGTAAATTAGGCGTAGTGATTCAGGTCTGTGAACAATCCGGTTTAGGGGTGGAATTATTTCTCCGGAGTGCAATTGTCGTAGCAATAACACTGCCTGTTACATATGTGTAATATAAATAAAGTGATATGTGGTTAATAGACCTTGGTCCTTATTCCCTTTGCACGTTCGTAACTCACTGCCTTAATCATTAACGGGCCGACTTTGCCATGGGAAATCTGTTGGGGAAGTTTCGGCCTTGTGGAATGCACGAATGGCCGCGAAACCACTGATTCCTGGTCCGCGTTCTGTCTTTTTCGCTGCGTGCATTTCACGAAGACTCAGTCAGGTTCTGAGGTCGGGCAAAATATTTTCCTCAGTCTCACGGGCCTCGCTGTGTTGGTTACGTAAGGGTCGAGCCCACACCGAACATTATGTATGATTATGATTCGTCTCAGTTGAGCCGTCCGCAATTTTTCTCTGGGCAATAGAGCGTTCATAAACACTAACCACGCGAGATTATGAACCCAAACGAGAAGAAGGAATTTAATTGGACACAATTCTACAGTCCGTTTCACAGGAAGCTGTTTTGCTGCCCAGTACTTTGCATGTCACCTTCAGTTGACCCCGATCTCTTACCCAACAACCTTCGAATTCCAGGGGCAAAGGGCTTCTTCAGTCGCCGAAAGTCTGCTCTGGGATTTCACCAAACCACGAGGACAGCTCAGCGATGTCCGACCACGCGGGAGGGGGGGGGGAATCCAAGACTCAATTTTCTACAGCGTTTGTGTCCAAGGTCTGAGTAACAATTTGGAAAAAGTAATCACCATTTCACCACTAACGACCTTATGCATCCGCTGTTCGTCAGTTCTCAGAAACCCAATCCAGCCGTGGAGTGATTGTCAATTCTGTTTGTATTCGGGAGACCTCAATGACCACCGAACACTCAGATCCTAGACGGGCATCCGCTGCGATGAGCCGATCCCTCATCCAAGGAGTCCCATGAAATGTCTAAAGGGATTCATAGTTTTGGAAGTTAATTATGAAGTGGAACAGACCAGAGCTTCATAGTTTTGGAAGTTAATTATGAAGCGGAACAGATCAGAGAGTCTTTTAAATCCTGACAGTTGAAGACGGTGGGTGAAATGAAGCTTAAACCAATAAAAATCAGTCACGTACGGACTAATCAAGTTCCGTTTCCTTATAGTCAACAGCTGGCCTGGCTCCAGGAATGCAACGAAGCTGGCACAACGAATCGACTTGTTTCGGGGCTTCAAAGAAGGCCCCTTCTGGTTGCGTCTCTATTCTCCTTCTTATTTCTTCCTTTCCGGTCTCCTCCATTTCTTCATTTACACTTTATTCTCTATTCTCAGTCGTGCCTCTTCTCATTCTCCTGCCCACATCATTTGAAATCTTCGAACGCGTGACAACGTTTTGGACTGTAATGTACAGGCCGAATTAAAATTAATTTCTTTCGGTGTCGTAATTATTTAATAAATTACACGATAACTAATTTATGAAGCTATGAATCTGCAATGCGACTAGACAATGCACGTTTGTCAGTCACACTTTATTAACTTTTATATTCTGAATTCAGCCCCAAAATATAAGAATGCTAAACACAAGACTCACGAAGCTAAAATATTCACTGTCACAAGAACCACACAGAGTCACCTACAAAACCTGATTTGTCGTCTGCGTTTGTAAGACCATGTTTCATACCACCACTGTCATGTAAAAGCCATTTTGGCGAGAATTTAAAGCGCCTAGTTCTTGCAATGCAGACCCGCATCTCCGCATAAACTCAAAAAAAAAAAAAAAAACATAAAATGTCTCAGGATTGTCAATAACATTTGCGATTTTAAGAAAGTGCGAGGTTGTAACGTAAGGATGCTCGGAGAGCCTTAAGGCCACCCTCAAACGCCTTAATGCCGCCATATTCAGTCACAGTGTCAATTTCATAAGTTATCAAGAGATAAAAGACGTCTAAACTCTTCCACCGTTCACGTAACTCGTGCGAGTTTCGTATCGGGCGGAATTCCTTCATAATTCTACTTGAATGGATGAGAGGAAGTCGGAGGACGGTGGAAGGTCAGGGACGCGGTGGTACCGTGCACGATGCTGTGCGTCCGTCTGTCTCTGTCTGTGCCGGGAATCGCTTCAACTCTCTGGAGGTTACGTATATAAACCGGCCCGGTCCGATTCCGCGCTCAATAGTCTCAGCTGCTGCTCCAGTCGCCAGGCGGTCTCATCTCTCGGTAAGATCAGTCTCACTTCATACAGCACAACTTCAGGAACAATGACTTTAGAGGGAAAAGGCGTGGCGATTTCCACATTCTTCAGCCAGCACTGTTGAGATCGCTTGCAAGTCAAGGAGGATGGAAGAAGATTCGCAAAACGCACACGACATTGCCTTCTGGCTGTAAAATACTACTTAAAATTTAATTATTCTGTCGTATCAAATACTATTTCATCCTTCGCCTTTGACAAATCGCTAGCAGTTCGAACGTCTAGCGCTCAACAGCGGCAAGAGTGACGCATACTGACACCAGGACACGCGGTGGGCAGTACGAACAGGGATGTCAACATGGCTCTCATAAACAAAGCCTAAACTCTTGCCGGATATTTAAATTGCATTAAATGAAAGTGAATCAGGTTAAAGGTTAATTCTTTACGGTTCATAAGCTTCGTATAATCGTCAATATTTCTGAATTATTCTCTTTAGAAGTACTAATTCCTCGAAGGCGCGCCGCGTTACAGAGCAGGTCGGGGCAGACGCAGATTACACCCGACACTGCCAGCGCAGAAGATCGCAGCTCGAACAGCCGAGAGGTTCAAATAATTCCGTGGTTCCTTACGTAAGAGAACTGCATGCAAATGAAGGATCGTTATGTACCACTGTTAACCACATAACAAAACCTCGTTCTGGGACGAGAAATAAACCAGCAACACGGGTTCTTAGCACGAGGTGAATCACAAATATGGCTGAGGCATTGAACATTTAAAAATCCAGTGGTAACTATATGTACCACATAGTTCTAATAATCAGAAATAATAATCGAACAGCATGCACCAAATGATCGTTGTCACAGAATCGCGTTTTATTTTCTTGTTTCTTGTAATGAAGCGAGGACGCGGCTGTTATGAAATGTAAGCTCGCCACACAGCAAATCGCAACAGACCTCAGAATGAGGGTCAGAGGTCTCGAACACGCGTCTTCGTAACAAAGCAAGAAGGTAGCAATGGAAATGTTGCGTGCATTTAGGAGATTGCGCTGAAGTAAAGCACGCACTTGGGGGATCTAGGGGCAGATGGGAGGCTGCGATGTGATGTGAAGGTGTGGTCTGCACGTTTACCTGGTTCAAGACTGGGTCCACTGGCGGGATCCTGTCAACTTGATAATCGATACTGGGGTTCCATAAGAGGCACAGGGAATTTCTCGACCAGCTGAGCGACTAGCAGCTTATCTTTAACAACTATGCTTCATGGAGTTAGAAAATGCTGCACCCTGTAGGTCATATTAACTATTATACGCTGTGATCATTTCATGAGGTGTTTTTAAAATTTCAGGTTATTTGGGGAAAACGTCGGCTGAAAGAATTAATAATTCCAACAGTGAAATTGCTTTCAAAATCGTTTAAATGGCACTACATACAAACATTACGTAAGTCCACATATACGAATAAGAGGTTTGGCGTTTTCACACAAATTTAATATTTTTAGGGGCAGATCGTTTCTCAGAAGGCAATTAGAGAGCGCACAGAGCCAGGCTCCTCCGTCCAGAACTTACATCACTCTAGGCCAACATCTTATGTAACCGAGATGTCAGGTGCCTCGCTTTATTTCCACAATTCGCGTGTCCCTGTGAGGTCGCCGCGTGGGAAAGAGACCACACAGGCTGAAGAAAGTGGTCGAAGTTCAAACCCCAGCAGGTGAGGGGGGGAGGCAACATTAAAGTCGGTCTTATAGAATTTCTGACCAGGTGAGCGACTACTCGGCGAGGCCTATTATCTGACGCCACGGACGTCACAGCCCACTCACACGGCGCAGGAGACAGAATGAGACCGCGGCCGGGGAGGGACCCCTTTCGTCACGGTCGATTTACAATCGATCAGTGGTACTGCACGAGTTCCCGGTCGGATAGCTTGCCTTTTCCGACGTTTCGTGGTCCGTCTGTGTCTCGTCGTATTAGCTTCATAAACGCTATACAAAGTAAGCACCTAAAATATGTAGTTGATGAATCCGCCAGGTAAAAAGTTACTTAATGACGCTGTATCTTAAAGGTTAATTCTTTACGGTTCATAAGCTTCGTATAATCGTCAATATTTCTGAATTATTCTCTTTAGAAGTACTAATTCCTCGAAGGCGCGCCGCGTTACAGAGCAGGTCGGGGCAGACGCAGATTACACCCGACACTGCCAGCGCAGAAGATCGCAGCTCGAACAGCCGAGAGGTTCAAATAATTCCGTGGTTCCTTACGTAAGAGAACTGCATGCAAATGAAGGATCGTTATGTACCACTGTTAACCACATAACAAAACCTCGTTCTGGGACGAGAAATAAACCAGCAACACGGGTTCTTAGCACGAGGTGAATCACAAATATGGCTGAGGCATTGAACATTTAAAAATCCAGTGGTAACTATATGTACCACATAGTTCTAATAATCAGAAATAATAATCGAACAGCATGCACCAAATGATCGTTGTCACAGAATCGCGTTTTATTTTCTTGTTTCTTGTAATGAAGCGAGGACGCGGCTGTTATGAAATGTAAGCTCGCCACACAGCAAATCGCAACAGACCTCAGAATGAGGGTCAGAGGTCTCGAACACGCGTCTTCGTAACAAAGCAAGAAGGTAGCAATGGAAATGTTGCGTGCATTTAGGAGATTGCGCTGAAGTAAAGCACGCACTTGGGGGATCTAGGGGCAGATGGGAGGCTGCGATGTGATGTGAAGGTGTGGTCTGCACGTTTACCTGGTTCAAGACTGGGTCCACTGGCGGGATCCTGTCAACTTGATAATCGATACTGGGGTTCCATAAGAGGCACAGGGAATTTCTCGACCAGCTGAGCGACTAGCAGCTTATCTTTAACAACTATGCTTCATGGAGTTAGAAAATGCTGCACCCTGTAGGTCATATTAACTATTATACGCTGTGATCATTTCATGAGGTGTTTTTAAAATTTCAGGTTATTTGGGGAAAACGTCGGCTGAAAGAATTAATAATTCCAACAGTGAAATTGCTTTCAAAATCGTTTAAATGGCACTACATACAAACATTACGTAAGTCCACATATACGAATAAGAGGTTTGGCGTTTTCACACAAATTTAATATTTTTAGGGGCAGATCGTTTCTCAGAAGGCAATTAGAGAGCGCACAGAGCCAGGCTCCTCCGTCCAGAACTTACATCACTCTAGGCCAACATCTTATGTAACCGAGATGTCAGGTGCCTCGCTTTATTTCCACAATTCGCGTGTCCCTGTGAGGTCGCCGCGTGGGAAAGAGACCACACAGGCTGAAGAAAGTGGTCGAAGTTCAAACCCCAGCAGGTGAGGGGGGGAGGCAACATTAAAGTCGGTCTTATAGAATTTCTGACCAGGTGAGCGACTACTCGGCGAGGCCTATTATCTGACGCCACGGACGTCACAGCCCACTCACACGGCGCAGGAGACAGAATGAGACCGCGGCCGGGGAGGGACCCCTTTCGTCACGGTCGATTTACAATCGATCAGTGGTACTGCACGAGTTCCCGGTCGGATAGCTTGCCTTTTCCGACGTTTCGTGGTCCGTCTGTGTCTCGTCGTATTAGCTTCATAAACGCTATACAAAGTAAGCACCTAAAATATGTAGTTGATGAATCCGCCAGGTAAAAAGTTACTTAATGACGCTGTATCAACTACAGAAGCTATGAGGAGGGGGGGAATCTTAGGATTTGAATGTAGGTCTGTGCTACGAGGCGTTGTCCCTCTGTGCGGTGTGCAAATGTGTGGAGGGGGCGGGTCTTGTACACCTGAACACTGTGCACTGTCTTTCGCAGGCCGACGCAGTCCGCAGTCCACACTATGGCGCCAAGCTACTTGCTGCTCGTCGCACTGGCCGTCTTCCTCAAGGCACCACCCGCTTCCGCGCAGGACAAGAAGATACGTGAGTATGGCCGAGGGCCTCTGCCCCAGCAATTCTTATCAGAGCGCATTACGAGGTGCGGCGATGAAGATGTCCGTCCACGCTGGTCTTCATGTTTCACGTCATACAGACGCTCTGTTTAACTTTGATTTAAAACAAGACCACCAAGGATTACAATTAATTGAGCGCGACAAATTTTAACATATCTGTCAGAGCATCAGTTCAGGATCTTCGGACTTAAATATAAGAATTCGTCATCGAAAGAACAGGGTACGAAATACACCCTCCCGTGTCGGAAACCTTTTATTTTACGAGTTTTCTTACAAAACCACTGTCGGATCACGGAAGTTACATAATAATATTAAAATTACGGTTTTCCTGTGACTAAATCAAGGAGGATGAGAGGGGGCGTGGCATGCAACGCGCACTCCGGAGATAAGAAATATACTAATCCAAAAACGTGAACAGCGTGTGATAATATTAAAACGAGCCAGTACACATAAGACGTTGTGGATTGGATCCGTTTAGATCAGGAGAGAGACCGGTGGTGGGCTCTTGTTAACGCGGCGATGAACCTCCTGGGTCCGTAAAAGCCGTAGGATCTGTAAAACACCCGAGCAAGTGTCATGGAGTACCAGACACGCTGTGGGACCCTGTTCCAATCTCAACATGGCCATTCTGACAGTTGTGACTTGTTCAGCTGATGTATCGTCATCAAACAGGTTCACTCGTCGTGCCCGGCTGCAGCTGAGGCGAGGAGAGTGCTCGTTCGCGTTGGGGTCAGACACGAAGCTCGGACCTCGTGTTGCTGCTGTTATCACAGACGTAAAATGACAGTTGTTACGCGTGGCTAACAATTTAGAGTTTTCCAGTAACAAGGTGTGAATTTCTTGTGGGCTTAGAAAATTAACTAGCTCACCGGTCGGCCTTGCGTTTTTTTGTAAAAAAAAGACCACAAGGAAATTATTATGCAACACGTCGCTGTGTATTTTGAAATGCCAGTGAGTCCGTCTCGATATTCTGTGATCGGACGCCTGACAGTGAAGTCATTCGATTAAAATTCTTGCGGGACTTCAAGCTATCGCAGGGAATGAAGGCATCGAACACGGCTGATGCCCCCCCCCCAGAATTTAAGATCTTTCACCTCCGGCTGTTACAAAATTTTTGAGGCCGGTAAAGTTCCGTTCCGTTCTTCTGAGACAAAGTTCGCCCTACCCTCGTTTTGAAACTGCAAATTAGTGTCTTCCAGCGGAACAAAAACATCCTCATGTAATCCATTACTTATAACTGAGTTAATTAAAACACCGAAGTTCGATTTCCAGCAGGGGCAAGTTCCCGGCACCCACCCTGCTTCTTGTACGGCGGGACTTAGCCGACCTGCCAGCCACGGGTATCGCCGACGACCAGGGAATGCGTGGAGGTTTACCTCGACGTTCCCCATTCGCCTCTCCGGTATAGCTGGAGATGTCGCCACATTTTTTTGGTCCAAATGGGATTTCTTAAGCTTCGGATTGCGAAATATTTGTTTGTACTGCGACAAAAAAGGCAATTCTGTCTGCGTTTCACCTGAGAACGAGAAAGTCTGCTTCGGGCAAATATACTTCGGCAAATGTGCACACAGGAATTGCATTAGACCTCGCTTTAAGTACACGATAACGTCTTACAAAACTCAAATACGATGAATTATTTTGAAATATTTTCTACACCCACGAACGAAGTTAGGTAAATTCACACACGCACGTGTTTGGGTCCGAAATCAACAAACCCCGTCGTCATCTGGCACTGAATTTAAGAAAAAAAAATCTTAAACGTAAAAATCCGGACACGTTACACACACGCACGAAAACATTTGTGAACTCAGTGCATTCCATAATACATTTTTTCAAGGCAATAATCCGCCATATTGCCAAAAAGGAAACTTCTGTGTGCACGTTTAAAAGAAGAAATTAAGATACATGTTTTTATTTTGATAAGATTTATAATTTACCAACATCGGACGCTGACATTACACAGAAATGCACGAGACACGCAACAGCATTTAACGACGGAATAAACACAACCTATTTTCCATTGCCCCCCTCAAAATTTTCAGTATTTCAAAACGAAATCACTATTTTGAGATTCTGAAATCTTAAACCCTTTACTCTTACACGCTGAAAGACGGAAAATTGTCAAATGCGGCTTTACTGGATCGCGAACTATCCTTGTTTAACGACGTGTAGCAAGTGCCGAGGGCATTCAACGCCTCGTTTTTATCCTATTCAAGTTATGCGGTCATGTTCCCGCGGCACGAACGCCTGACAAATGGATTAATAAGTACCTTGAGTCCACTAAACCTTACATGGAGGTAATCTGACAGCTAGACTGCCGAGCACATTCACATTAATAAGCAAATTACGATGCAGTCTCGATGCAGAACGAGATGCCATGCGCCAGGAATCTGGCCTCATTGCCGTTCGGTGGAACTCGGCGAGCGAGGGGCGAATTGCGACAGAACTTTAAAGAAAACGCGAGTGGGAACGCAGAACCGTTTCGGCAGGGGCGCGGTGTAGACCCCGCGTTACAGATTTTAACGAGGCACCACGCGAGCGCAAAAACACGGCATATCCAATATCCGACACTCTATCAACTGACCAAGTTAAGAAGTAACGAACGTGCTCAGCATTCCTGATTCGTAGTCGGAAGGTCCCAGGTTTAAATCTCAGCCATGAGACCGCCTACTGAGCCTTCTCGTGGTTTTACCCAGTATCTCCAGACAAATTCAGGAATATAGCCTTGCATTATGCCACGACCACTTCCAATTCATTAGTCACTGTATCTTTTGACGTCGTCATACAAACCACAAATGACAAGACGATTGGTGAACAATGACTTGGAACGAATTTGGAAGGAAGTTTTAAGGACCTTCGTCGAAGAGCTATGGCGCCACTAGCTTGGGTCGACTGAGGAAGTCCATTAAAATTACTAGTCAGGTTAAATGTCATCTTCGCCAGGAATGTAAACATGGACTTCCTGAACCGCGCAATCGCAAAGCTGAAGTCGCTCAGGTAGTCACAAAGTTCCCAGCCCTTCCGCTGTCGCGTTCATTCAAGCCAGCCACCTTTCCCTATTCTGCGCCAGATTAATCCAGTTCATAACTCCAAACCCATTATCCTCCTACATCTAACCCGTCTCCTTTCATCAAAAGGCAAATCTTGTTGACGTGTGCCTCTAAAAACAGACGTTTCGTCCGAATCCACTGATTTCCCTCTTTCAAGACGCGGCACCAAACGTTCGTTACAGTAGTTCCCCGCGATCGTGCGGCAACTTCTCCGACTCGTGTGTTCACCGTGTGGCCTAAACGAGGAATGGCAGGCGATATCGCGATCATAAAGCTTGCCGGAAGAAAAGAAGAATGAATTCGAGAGTCGTGAATCCTATTAATATTTGAGACTAATTGATAGTAACTTTCTGCTGGAGCGCTAAAAACATTTCACACGACATATTCACCCGAGACGAAGCCAGTCATCTGTTTCTGTCGCTATGTTACAGCGGATTTCATCAAACTCTGCAAGAGAAGCGACCCGCAGCTAAACGAATGCATCACGGACTCAGTGGAGCACCTCAAGCCAGCACTCGAGAAAGGTGAGATATCTACTTAATGATCAGTGGCGGCTAGTGTGCCTCGCGAATTTCTGAGGTGGGTATTTATTCGATCCTGAAGTTATATAGTATCTCCAAGCTGATGTTTTAAATAGAAATACAAATTTTTATTTTAAATTTTCATCTCAGCTTATAACTTAAGCTAATGAAAGGATAACATAACCCACTTCAAGCATGGACAAAAGGCTTAGGACTGTAAGTTTCGTCTCACTGTTACTGGTAAGGGCTGGATTCAGTGTGATGTATCTCAAGATGGCTGCTTTCTGGATTGTAGCGCAGTGTAGTCTGGTAGAAGGTTACCAGCGTTACAGAGGTCCAAGATACTTCCGTCATCAGGGCGATGTTGGTAAACTTCTACCAGACTACACTGCGCTTGAACTCAAGAGACAGCCATCTACAAAAATCATAAGTAACGAGTATCTTATAAACCTTCCGTTCAAGTTGAAGTGTGAAAGCAAAAGAGAACTCCAATTTTCTCAGGAGTGGAGGGGATCGTCCCTTCCTTGGAGCCGCTGCGGATGAACGAGGTCCCCATCATAGACAACAACGGATTGAGAATCGTGGGCAAAGACGTCAAGACCTACGGCTGTAGCGACTTCAGGATCTTTAATATGAAGTGAGTACGATCTGATCGTGCGTCTCAGGCCTACGACAGCGCTCGCCGCAGGAACACTTTGCCGGCTGACCGGCCAGTCCCGAGCCCTGAACTAAGCGTAGCATTTACCATGTCCACAGAGCGGACGTCGGCAGCAAGATGGACCTGGAGTTCGACCTGGAACTTCCAATGCTGTATACAGTCGCCCAGTATGAAGTCAGCGGTCGGATTCTGCTGATCCCTATAAAGGGAAACGGGCCTTTCTACGGAAACTGGTGTAAGTTGCACTCGCTCTTACCAGAACCGGGTCATGTAACAATTCGTGTCAGTCGCGCTGAAGGAAGAGGCGTTTCTTCAGCTGCTGGGTTGATAAATTCCACCGATTAAATCGAGTTACGTTACACAGCGCCGAATGAGACAGGGGCATTGTCACGAGTGGTTCAAGCTGTAGGTGGCAAAGTATCTTTAGCCACCAGGTCAGCATTCGAATGGAAAAGGTAAGGTAAAGCACTTTATCACCAGAAACGTAACCACGAGACCCTCCTTCGCGTAAGCAGACAGGAAGTAACGAGCGAACTGCGAAGAACGCGTGGCAATTTGTTGCATTTTGTTCAACATTTATTCCGTCCAAGGTCGTTAAATCCACTTTGTAGATGAACCTCATTGCAGAAAAAGATAACAAGTGTATCTAATCTCATAAGTATTCGTAACTTCCAATTATATAACGAAGACTTATAGCCAGTCGCAGTCACTTATCACGTATCCCATGTGCAGCGGAGTGCACGGCCCACGTGACCCTGGACGGCGACTTGGAAGACAGGAGCGGATTCAAGTTCGTCAGATTCAACACCCTGAGAATCGTCTTCACGATGGGGAAGGGCAGGGTGGAGCTGCGAAACCTGTTCAACGGCGACAAAGTCCTGGGTACGTACACACATTCAATACCAAGTTTCGTCAAAATCCGTCAGTTGGTTCGGATCCGATTAAGAGTGAGAGAGACAAGAACATGGTACAATCATAAACCAATCTTGCATAAAAAAAGTGAGTAAAAGTTATAATCTCAGTGACTTACGATCTGTTGCCCAGGCGACGCAGTGAACTCCGCCATCAACTCTAACTTCAAGCAGGTCCTGAAGGAATTGCAGCATCCGATTGAGAAAGCGCTGGAGGACGCCATTCTCGAAATAGCGAACGACTGCGTACGAGATTTCACCTACGACCAGCTGTTCCCTCTAGAATAAGACGGCGTGAGAAACCCAATAAGTACACCATAGCCGCTTAAGGATTTTAAAAATAGATTTCCATATTTAACCCACATCTTTACTCATTATTTGTCCATAAGATTTCGCGCATATGAAATTTTCGTTCAGGATATTAATTTTATTTCGGTAAGTGTCGAAAATGTTGTGACACTTCCTAAAGCACGAGGGCTGTCCAAAAATACACCCCCGTTAACCGATTCACTTACGCTGTGCGGCGTTAGTAATGGCCTCATAAAGACTATTATTCACGTGGTGCAGATAACACTAAAATAATAACGAAAAGAAGAATGAACGACAATTTTTGCTAAGGGTTTCTTTTAAGTAAAGAACAAACTCATTTTGGCTGCAACCAAATAAAATGTTCTCGGAACGCTGAAACTACAAATAAATTCTAAAAAAATCCGACAATCTAATGCGTTACTTAAGCACATGAACACGATAAGACTGATTATTCTGAACTAGTTCAGCATAAAATATCAATAACACACTTTTGTGCTCAAACGCGATGGAACAGAATTATAGTGACATCTAAAGTAACTTATGATTCATATTCCTGCGTGATGTGGTATAATATTAAAAACACTTAAAGAAAGTATCAATTTCTGGAAATAATACTAATAAAATGTTTCACTGCTCATAAAAGTTTCTATGTTTCTAGAATTTACAGCAAAATTCAAATTCATGTTGTTCTATACAAATAAACGTGATATTGCAAAGGAAATATGCTGTGTCTTCCTAATAGTTCCACAAAAAAATCTCATGGTTTTTGTCGAATACAAAAATTCTGTTAATAAAGCAGAAAATGACGTAACATTTTACGATGACGAAACACCAGAGTACGCGATGGACAGGTCGTACAGAACGCATGGGAACGAAGAGAAATGCTTTGAACATTTTAGTGAGGAAACCTGAAAGGAAGACACCTCTTCGACGACTTAGGCGTAGATGGGAGGATATTATTAAAATGTAAATTAGACGAATAAGCTTTGAATCTGAGCACTGGGCACAGCTGGTTCAGCATGGGGTCTGGGAGTTTGCTCTTTTCATGAACCTTTGGGTCCCATAAAAGACAGGGACTTTCCTGACCAGGTGATTGATGGTCAAATTCTGAAGGACGACGGTAAGATTCGAGATATGGGATTACAATTGACGGACAACGACAAAGATGAACTTTATTTTACTACTAATACAAAATAATAGCTGCTAAAACATGTAAAATCCAGGAACAGAGTGAATGTTATAACTTTCGAGGGCAATTTTCATACCCGAGAGGCATCAGAGTAATTTACTTCTTCAAAACCCTCTTATGGTTAAAGTCGTCGTAGCAGCGAGCGGAGACGGTGACACGGCCCAACTTTGTTGTTCACTTCTGAGTTAACATATTTAATAAATAAAATCCAATTAAAGGAAACAGTTTGACAGATTTAACAGCGAGAATTAAGAAAATCACGAAACTCCTTTTAAGGCCACAAACGCACATTTTCCCTACTTAATGGACAAATGTGGCCAGGAAATATTTGTCAGGAACTGACGTGAGAGGTGTTAGGTTGGTAGTCCTTCAATTTATTTTTCGGGTACACAAAACTACAGTCCACAGTCTGTACAACATTACAAAATGAAAACAGCAACATTTTCACAGACGTACATTTCTAAGCAGCAAAGATAAAAAACAAAGCAGAGAAATACTGAGGTGTTGAACGAGTATTCGTTGGTTTGACCGGAAGCCGACCAGCGATGTGAATGCGGCAACGAACACCTGGTGTTCCATAAAGGACGGGTTATATTTTGACTGGGAAATAGCAGTCAGCTAGTTTGCAACCGCATCTGTCCACCCTCAACAGCTGCAGACAATTTCTACATTACGCGACTACGACAACTCCCCCTGACCTTCCGGCCTCTCCTGGAGCTAGTCGTCAGGCAGCAGCTCCTGAACAGTGAAATGCTGTGTGATCTTGTTCGCTATCTTCTGGATAATATCCTTGACCGTCTTCTCTACAATTGGCTTCAAGTACGCGATCAGCTCCTTCGGGTTCTCATTCAAAGCGGCATTGGTCGCTTCACCTGTGAGAGACAATATCTTATTCGGATGATGTGCATACGAAAGTTACCAGTCCTGACAACAAATGACACCTACGCCTCACTGCTGAAACCCTCATTAAAATAAACTTCTTCCCGCCAAAAAATTCCTACGAAGTTTCAACATTCGCTTGTGACCTCATTGCATTTAGTGCAAGTTTCCGAATCCTGAAACTAACTGAACATAAAATTATTCGACATGAAAATTTTGTTAAGCAAAACTTTATGCGATCGCTTCGGGCATTGCCAAAAACTCGTTACCTAGAAACTTGTCGCCGTTGAACAGGTTGTCCAGACGCACGTGGTAGCCTCCGATGGTGATTTTCATGTCGATGTTGTTGAACTGCAGGTAGCTGCCGTCCGCCTTTTTCATCAGCTGAGCGTACAGCACCACGTCTCCCTTACAGTCCGCTGCGGGCAGCAACAAGCACGTATACACTCGCTTCTCGCAGAGACGCATTTAAGAGCAAACAGCTGACCGTGGTTATCACAATTCCTCAATATGGCCACACAAGGATGTCTAAGCTGTGCACTAACCATCAAAGTAACACTGCAATGCGGGGGTTCCCAAATGCACACTTTCCATTTCAAACACGAAAAGATCCTCGCATGCGAGTAGTTAACACTGACGATCAATAAATAAATAAACAGAATAGTGAGCGAAACAAGATATCTTATAGCTAACTAACTAGATGGCTTACCGAACCCGAAGGTTCATCACCGAACTAACCAAAGCCCTCCACCGGACCCTGTCCTGGGCCAACAAAATCCAGTCTCCTTCAACTCCTATCTCCCACAGATCCCGCCTGGGATTATCCTCCCATCTACGTCTAGGTCTCCCCAGCGGTGTCTTCCCCTCAGGATTCCCAACCAGTACCCGGTGCACACCTCTTGTCCCATCCATGCGCGCTACATGCCCCGCCCATCTCATTCTTCTCGACTTAATCACCCTGACAATACTGGGGGGGAGGTACAATTTTTTAAGATCATCTGTATAGGATTTGAGGTAAGTCTGAAGATGGTTGTCTCCTGGGACATTGCGCAGTGTGGTTTGGTAGACTTCCACCAACGTTTCAGAGGTCATGCTGCCTCCGTCATCAGGGCGATAAGTAATTTGACTCTGGTCGTATTCCGAACAGAATACGAATTTTACATTCGATCACATTCACAAATCGTACGGATCCATACACGACGGCAACGTTCATAAAGCTACGAGACTTTTCTTTCCGGATGCAAAGAAAGACTCTGAGCATTTACACGGTTGAAGTATTCCATTTCATTCGGAGGCAGAATTGCGAAAACTGATCCTCCAACGAGGAACAACATGAAGATGCTGTACTCACTCGCGTTGGCTTTCACGGGTCCTTTCCCCTTCAGTGGCAGGACCAGCAACCTGCCGCTCACCTCGTAGGCCCCATCGAAAGTCAGGTACGGGAGGTCTACGCTGATGTCCACCTGGTAGTTCTCCAAATCCACGCTGGGACAAATAAATCTGCCTTAAACAAGCGCGACTAGACGCAGACTGACTACGAGGCCAACGCTCCTGATTTAACCCCTCCCCCCGCCTCTCACAGTCCACAATCTACCATCTTCCGGCGCAGGTCGAAGCAGGGTACACAAAACCATCACCACGGCAACCCACCTTCTAACATCCGACTATCGTCATCCTACATCTCCGTCTCCGCCTCCCATGGTCCCTTTAGGTCTTACACGTTCACATCATGAAGAATAATAATATTAAAATTTACATCAGGACACCTTTCGTGTAGCCGACAAATCGCCATCTAGTGCGTGGAGATATACCCATTTCAGACTACTGCCCTTATCACCGGGGCGTGACCTACTTCAGCTTCCTGATGACGAAGCTCCCGGGGCCGTAGATGTCGATGTTCTTCCCCACGGCCTTGATCCCAGCGCCCTGAGCCACCAGGATCTCGGGCAAAGTCAGAGGCTCGATGGACGGCACGTCCAGGTCGGGAATTCCTGTCAACATCGAGAGGAAACGTGAGATTCCGGGTGCATCCACCTCCTGCACTAAATATGAGGCACAACACAGCTAATAGCAGACCCCACCTACAGTCCTCTCCAACCTCGTCCTAGCCACAGGCCAGCCAACAACGGTCGCAGTCATCCACTCACCTTTCAGCAGATACGGCCGCAGAGTTTCAATGGAGTTTATGATGCAATCATTCAGTTTCGGGTCACTCCTTTTACACACCTTGATGTAGCTCGCTGGAACAGACAAAAGCGATTTGACTAATCACTCTGCGAGTTCTCAGATTTTTCACGGCTGTGAAAATGTCGGTGGTGATCTTTTGGGCCGTGATGCCTGGCGAACGATATACATCACGGCCCTGAAGATGGAGCAATGCGTTTCACCGAAACCCTTTAAACCTACAAGCATGTCCGCACTAATTAAGTCAGGGCAACCCCGAAGTCTATTCTTAAAGTAATGGTTGGCCATTTCATCGCAACCACGTGTCGCCATCGTTATGGCCTTCGAACAAACGAACCAGCACACAATTGATACTTTCCGCACGTCTAACTGCCTGCGCAAAACATAAACATGGCTTGATAGTCGTTTGTTGCACACCAAATTTCCCACGCATTTGGCTCACAAAGACGCTTACGACCGCAGAGACGACCTGCTGGCACGTAGACAGAAGACAGACACTTGCCGTGAATATTAATAATCTTAAGAGGATCCACGACCACAGAATGTGCTGGCTGAAGAATGCAGGCCCACACAACCGATGAAAATGCTCGAAATACACTGCAATCAGAATACGGCTGAATATCGATGTTTCCTGAACAGAGTGCCCGCTGCCTAGGCTCCGCACACCAACTACACATCGCGCCTGATCGGCACGCCGGTACCATCCCGACCTTGGGCTTCTGGGTCATCATCACGTTTCGGAGAAAGCAGTCGTTTGGTGCTCGACCTTGGAAAACCCGCAGCGGACGTGGTGACTAGCCGCTGAGACATGTCCGGATTATGACGCTACTTCAGCAGTAACCACGCGTCGTCTGCGCTCTTCCTGTGTTTCCTTTATTAAACTCACTCAGGAAAGTGTCCAAAACAGGAGTATGCTGCCTTCTGGAATGCTGCGGTCTGGTCGGGTATACACTGACCGCCGTCGCCAAGCTCGACCACAAGAAGTCCCACTATCACAACAAAAGCAGTTTCGGAGTCGATGGAATGAGACAGATGAATATAACATATTTTAAGAAGGAATAGAGAGAAAATTTCTTATAGCATATTTCTACCTGTTGTACAGGTAATCTTTGGTACGTTAAGAGGAAATAATCCTTACTAAACTAACTTAACCTCCAAGCGAAAAAACCCCGCTCCAGTGCAACCTGGTCCACCAAGAATTTCCCTCCAAACGATAAACTCTCCATTTCGGAAGGAGAATTGTGTATTGTAACATTTCTCATTTCCACATAGGACATCAATTAGTGGAAAATATCAAATTCGACGTAAGTTGAAAACCCCTTCTTTCGAATGACACGAAATAGATGCATGTTCGTCGCTTACTCGGGAATTAAAGTCTCCACTATTCATTCACCTTCGATTAGCATTACGGCAGCTTCCTATTTTAACAACACTTTTTCAATTCCACTGTTCCTTTATGTCAGCTCGAAGGATGGAATATAAACTCCAAATAATGTGGAAGACATCGACAGCCGTTGCTGGACGACATACGGACCCCAGAGATATGAGAGTGTAGATCAACAAACTGGGTTCCGAAGCTGACACGTTCACAAGTTCCTTGTGATGTTGTAACAAGTTATCCACTTGTTCTATAATCCTTTAATGAATCATCAGCCACTAGATAAACAGGGCTAGTCTAAATGATGTTACCGATTTACTTACGTTTAATGAAATTCAGATGCACAAAATTGGTACCGTTGGAAAGAGAAACTCTCCAAGTTTCGTTTCAGTACATCACAGGCGTTCAACGTGAGACCCCATGGTAACTCAGCACACATCCAGCCTGTAGTCGAGTTCATCCCAGACACATTGCAGCATATCACGATCGATTACTGCAATGGCTGCTGTGATACGCGCTCGCAGATCAAGCAAGGTCCGTGGTAAGGGTGGCACGAAGACTTTATCTTTGACGAACCCCCACAGAAAAGAATCACAGGGCGTCAGCTCCGGTGAACGTGGAAATCCAGGACACAAATGGCAGCCATTTTCTCTCATATCGCCCCTGGCGGCAAACAGTGTTACTACGCGGCCGCGAAGTATACCAACATAAACTTGGAGAGTTTCTCTTTCCATCGGTACCAATTTTGTGCATCTGAATTTCATTAAACGTGAGTAACACGTGTTTAAAATCGGGGACATCATTTAGACTAACCCTGTATTATTTCCAAGCTGTATCTGAGACTCGTGAATGATAAGTCGTTAGAGAAGACACATGACTTACCCGTATCTCAAATTAATCCCATGGAGTAGAGTCCTTGATCGCAGCACAACTAGTCATAAAATTATTCGTCTTTTATGGAACCCGCAGGTTCATTACCGTGCTAACAAGAACCCGCCTAGTGAACCCTAATCTGACTCAGACGAGTCCAATTCATGAATTCACTTCCATATACACCCAAGTATCCTCTTCCCTTCGCAATTTCGGACTAAAACTTTGTGTGAATTTTTCGATTCCCCGATGCGTGCTAGACGCTCAGCCATTCATTACCCTTGATTTGTTAACCCTACTAATACCTTGTAAATAGCACAAATTCTTCATTGTGCTGTTATCTCCTCTCTCTCGCGTACAAATATTTTCCTCAGGACCTCGTGTCCGGCATCAAGGTGTAATTCCAGAATTATCTCGCTGATACTGAATAAAACCACGCACAGACTGAACAGTTCTGGGATTGAATTCAGTGGTCCTCGTGCTGCCAGGTTTTATCCCTCGCTAATGATAGAAGGAGAGTTTACGAAATCCCTTTGTCATCGGCGAAAGCCCGACCCCAGTTCACGAGACGGTCATTCATATTTCGCCAACATTTTCAAACTGTTTAGTCACCTCTGAAATAGCCCTGTTGTGAGATTTCGGATGACTCAGGAAATTTAACATCAACGACTGTGCGGGAACAGCTGGTACCCATCCTCTGCGGTTTGCCAGATTAGCACCAAATTATTTTCCGTGCGTGATCTTGCTTTCAGTAAGGCTTCAAACTGTTTGTGCGCAAATCTGTGGGAAAACACAAACGCCTTTTGGGCACCTCTCGGGGTCTGTCTCCCTGATACAGACACCTTCTCTCGCACAACTGTTTTCACAACAAATCGAACTCGTACCGGAAGCGAGACACAGCCGAAAGGTGTTTTGCAATCTAAAACACGGAGAAAGCGAGTGTCCTCTGACCTTGCGGAATATGTACAGCAACTGGAAATTAGAAGCCTAATTTCTGCGGTTTACAACCCAAATTCCCCCAAATTATCCATCAATCATATTCAATTTTCTATTCAATCTCTTTGTTGGTATTTCAATTTGAACGTACATTTCCGCTTGTTACTGGGTTCTCAGTTAAAGTCAGGTAAATTTTGTTCTGATTCATAACCGTCAACACAAAAGTCCTCCATCGGACGTGACCCTGAGCCAGACCAATTCACTTAACAACGCTAAACATCAGCAGATTAATGTGCATTTTAGTGTAACCCAGCATCTTAATTTCTGTAATTAATTGTGCTGTTACAATCGGTCTCTCTATTAACAAATAAATTCATTTTTCATTAAGCAAGCAACTTAGATGCGTGACCAATCAAAAAGGTTCGAGACTGCTGCTAGCATACAACCGGGGATATTTTATAAAAACATATAAAAACTAAAAAGCTAAGAATTATAATAATTAACGTGTAACTTCCTGTTAACCGGAAAAAGCAACCTTTAGCACTCCAGACGTCCGGGGAGCCGAGTAACGCGACAAATATCGCGGTTTCCTGGCAAACGTTGACACAACACCACCACGACCACTTCCTTCCACATCCTACTATCCCTGATGAACAGACTTACGGATCCTGGACTGTTCCGCGAAGTTGAACAACAAACAGCTGACGGCCAAAAACACAGTGGTCTCCATGGCGACAGGAGGCAGCTGAGCTGAGCGCGATGCCCTACACCCCTTGAGTGCACTGGAAAGAGCAGCAGCCGTTGTGGGATGGCCGCTGGGGGTGCCGCCTTCTTATACAAACGAGGCATCTGGCCTCTTGCCCCTCCGCGCCCCCTCCAACGTTGCGACAGGTCGCGATTAATCGGGAACTGCGTCTCAGTCGGTAAAGTGACTGGCTGTGGGCTGAAAGGCCGTGATTCGATTCCCGACAGGGCAGACAGACTTTTAGGGTCCACTTAACCTCATGTGCAACATCAATAGAAGCTGGGCCTCCATTTCTCCCTACACCTTCGTGGACCGGTGGGGACAAGTCTGCTTCGTCCCGACAATGGCCGCGCTGTTCTCGTTTATTTATTCATCATTTCTTCCCTGCTTTACCCTAAACAGCAACTTCAAACAGGTTACTTTTCTTTAGAACGATCTACCTGTTCCTCATTCAGATAAATAGTTTAATCTCAACAAGTAACAGCTGCAGTTGATACATGACAGCAGAATAGTTCACACTGCCGTCGCAGTTCCATCCTGACAACCTACCCCCTCCCTAAGTTATTCTAATGTCATCTTCCCATCTCTTTCACGTTCTACCAAGTGATCCTTTTAAGAGAGGCGAATTATGTCATCTCACCTCTAAATGACCCGCGATACGGAACAAGTGAAAGCATTATATCATTCTGCAGTTCTCCGCGGCCTTCAGGGGTAAGAGGCTTCGAAGAGAACAATTAGCTTCCATCCAAATGCGATCGTCAGCTCTCTTCAAGGACCTTGTGTATGTCAGTTTCCTTCACACACACACACAAGACTATCTAAATTCTCAATAAAATTGCATTAAGGCACAGAGCAGTCGATTTTTTCTGACACGTTTATTAAGCAGTGTCGGTCTCCTGGGTTATATCGCCGCATGACAAAGATTCGAACAAAGGATAATCAAACGACGCACAATATCAGTCAATCAATCATTGGCACGCACTCAGAGCCTCGCTGGAATGGTTTGCACAAAACTTCGAAAGACACAGGGTGAGTCATTTGTGAGACGCAATAGCGAGTGGATGGCGCGTGACCCTGGTCACGTGACTGCGGAGGAACAACTGCACGTAGCCGTTACGTGTCCCGACTGACATAACCGAGGAGCGGGAAACATTCGGTCACAGAGCCGGGTGGTCGTCCAGAAACGCGTACGAGGACACTGATCAGAGCTTCGGAAATCCTTTCCTAAGTAATCACCATCAGGGCAATGAAATTCTAATGTTTTGAAATATTTTCTACTTGTGGGAATAACACTGAGAAGCTGGTCGTAGGTCAGATACTCATCTGTTTATGGAACCCCGGGGTTCAGTACCATCTTCACAGGAGCCAGCTACTACCGGTCTCTACCTAAGCCACATGAATCCAATCTATATCAAACGTTTAAGCGCAGTCTTCCTCCTGACGTTGTCCGGCACGAGGCGTGCCCCTGGATCTATTTAAAATTCTATGTCCATGTTAACATAACCCCCACATGAGCCTGGCTAACCTTGGTTTTTAACCAGAGGAAGGAGTGTTTCACACCGATGTGCTAAAACGCCTATATGCAATACAAATGTGAAACAAACAAATTCTCACACCAGGTATGAAGTACAAGGAAAAGGCAATCGTCGCTTATTTCAACATTTTGCTGGAAAGCAGTCTGTCCATCCGTCCGTTTCTACCCGAGGGCACTAGGCTTCTATTTCTGGTGGATTTAACAACGCTCGGATATAATGTTCAGAAGGTCTTACTGTGTGTTCTTCGTTGGCAGGTTTTGCAACTTAAAATGTCAGTAGTTCATGACTCGTGACTAATTATCCGGGGCCAAGGTAACCCTGCACAGGTTCGAAGATTACAAACCTAAACATGCCCCCACATTGCATAACAATGCTTGAAGTTGCAAGCCCGGCACACCTTCAATGTAAAGCGTTTCGGAAAACTCGTCCCCAGGAACGGTTATAACCACGCTCAAGAGTTCGCGGAGTTTTGGCCCAGAAGACCTCAATCCAAAGCAAGGCGTTTCCACCTCTAATGAAATCAACCGGTCGCCTGCACACAATGCGAAATTATTAAGACCTACGAGAGACTCGAAGACCAACTAACAAACGTCACGCCGCCGACTCCTTCCTGAACCTCGCCTAATTGAAGTCCGTTATACAATGTCCCCAATGCCCTAGCAAGAGAATGCCTGCATTTGTAATCCACCAGTTTCCGTTAGTATCGTTCAGTCAACCAGCATTCCTACGAAATCAATCCGTCAATCAACCGGCCAGTCTTCACGAAAAACGGGTTGGCCTCAGCCAGTCAATCAGCCAGCTACAACACCCTCTTCGCTGCAGACGAACAACTGGCGAGGCTGCACAAAGCCAATAGGAGGAGAAGTATTTCGTGTCGATTGGGGGCTGCAAAACGCGTAGCAAACAAACAGCTCATGCTCCTGCGAGCTACGAAAGCTGTTTTCCTCACTGCCGGAACAGCCACAGGGTTGTGGTCGCTTCACTGTTTACACACGAGGTGGATCGCCGAGAAGAATATGACTGCCTTGTTATTGATTTGTGTCCGACAACGGGATGGACGCCAGC